GCGAGCTAGTAATCTAGGCGAGGTTCTGATGCGGCCTAAACACAAACTTTTCTCACTAATATATGTTACAAACCGGGGTCTGTTGGAAGCAATGACAACATTATCCAGCCGAAGAAAAGTTAATTCCGTACTGCTATATTCTCTTAATGACATAAACAGGGATATCTATTTCACTTGCTGGTTTTGGAGGTACCACTACCGTCCTAGATTAATGTAAATGTTATACTTATCTCTGTGTAGCAAACCAAGCAGCGGCATGATCAGAAAGCACAGAACGCTGATGTAAAAAACAAAAGGAAAAGCTTAAAGGCTTACGGGTGTCCCTACATTCAAACGTCATCTGTTAAGTAATTCAGGCAGTGTACACTGTAAACTAAGTGCTGTGTGCCATGAACCCATTCAGACCCCAGTAGGAGGTAAACCTATTCTAGTTCTGCCCGACTAGCTCAGTAGGTAGGGCATGGGACTCTTAATCTCAGGGTTGTGGGTAGTGCCTCAGTGGTAGAATGCTCGCCAACCACATATGTCGTCCGGGGTTCGATCCCCGGCCACTGACGCACTCCTTTACCTCGCTAAGCCGGTGATAAAACTGGTAAAGAAGGAAGGCTGAGCGTGGGGCCAGCAACCCCATCCCATAAAAGTAAACACCATCGCTACCGAAACTTCAATCCCTATGTTCCACTGGGAATGTGAAGGAATAAAAGATTTCTGCACCACCATAAAGTGAGGGAAGAATTCGCTGCTGCACAAGACAAAACTAAGATGACGAAAATTATTGTAAATACACTGTGCCATTTTGTCCTTCAGCATAGTTTGGTCTAAGATATACTAGAAAAAAGCAACATTCAGGCTTTCCAACTACATACCTCAAGTAGACCTCTTGATACTTGGTGTCACACTGGATTATCCTTTTTGTTGTTGTATGCTTGTGTTGAACTAAAATCTTTCATCATATTCGAAGATAATTGTCATTCCTTAACTACTCCAAGAGATACTACTGTATCCAGTCCAGTGGAAAAGCTGTTATCATATTTACAGACGGATCCCCAGGACCTGATCTTCCTCGAAGAGACAAATTGTAGTCGTTTCATCAGTCCTTAGGTCGAAGTTTCCACTTTTGAATACCATCCTATTTTCAACTTCACTAGTAACCACCATGCATTTATCGTAACGAGCAAAGCTGTCGTGGCTTACAGTAATTTTGATATCAGGCCTAGCTGGCCATCATATATTATAGCTACTGACCGAAGGGAAATTAATCTACTCATAGTTGAAATCACCAGACCATTGCGCAGTATATCCTTCAGCTCCGATAATAAATCTCCTAACACGTAACTGAAGCTGCAGTATTTACTTATGCCTCAATAAACAACTACGAGAACTATTTGAAGCTACACTTCTATATGAGATTGAACTGAAATGCTGATTCGAAAACAGTGAAAAGGACAAACCATGAATATTTAGTTGTTCAGCATGTAGAAAGTTGCTGTGGTCCGTCCACGACTGAGGAGTGCTGTGAGCACTTCCTAAAACCAATGTGACAGTAAACTTCATGTTAAATACGCCTTGACGAACATGTCCTCAAGGTACTTCGAATATTCTGTGAATGCTTAAGACATTTCCGATAGAAGGCTTTTGGTATTTTGCTTGCATCAACTAGAAACAAACTCATTTTGGTCAGCATAATTGTCTCCAACCATTGGTTCTTATAATCTCGAGGACTCCAACCAGGGAGTTCACACATCTCCAGGTGGTTTAAACCAACTGTCAATGACTTCATGAACTTATACCAGGTTTTGGTTTGACCATCACTAGTTCTTCTCCAACCCAACCCTATGTCAGCTAAAACTGCCCGTCGAGGAAAGCAGTAGCTCAACCGATGTGATTTTGGAGCTACATCGAATGATTTTTCTTCCTTACCTAGCACTCTAAGCCTCGCTTCAATACTGCCCACCATGCTAGGCAGATAAAGACTAGCTGGTTGGCGTCCTCAGGATTCTTTAAAAACAGATGGCTGGAGACAATTAGTGATGTGACTCAAAAGCGTCATCAGTGGCTCAGATGTATTCACTCTCTGTGACCTCCTATATTCACTTAAACCCTTTATCTACTACAGAGAGTGTGGCAACTGGAACTACTGCTCTTTTGTTCAAGTTGCTATGCTGAAACCAGCCAGTCATCCAGGAAAATAAATAAAAAAGTCACTAAAAGCACAAATTATTATTATTATTATTATTGCGTTTTCTGCTGTATGATAGAATACAAATGCAAATAAATTCGAGTAAAGTAACAATGGACAGAGGAAAAGAAACCCAAAAAAAGAGACAAGACTTATTATTATAATGTGTTAAAAGATTAAAGGGCCCGCCTTCACAAAAATTAAAACACAAAAAAAACTCAAACCACATAAAAGGAACACACACACACACACAGTGCATATCTTGGAATTGAAAAACAAAATTGGCAATAATAAATAAATAAGTAAATAAATGCTGTAGTGTATTATATATATTATAGCAGTACACATGTCGATACCAGCCGACAAGGACATCCATACACTGATTTAGACATTCATGATCGGATAACAAGGAGGGATAGATAGATAAATAAATAATTAAATAAATACATTTCGAATAATTCCCAATAAAGTTTATGAATATTATTATTACTATTTGAGAAACAAAACACAATAAAATAAGGATGAACTCCACAATATTATCAGAAGAGAGTATAAAGTGGATTTAGTTACGACAATTAGATAAATAACAATAATGATTATTATTAATAATAATAATAGTAATACATATATACTAAGAGATACTTGTGAATAAGGATAAAACAGAGACTAAAATTGAATTTAAAACAATATTATGACAAACTGGCGCAAAAAAAGAAAACAAATAGGGAAAGATTATTGACCAACACACATATAAATGATAACTTAAAATTATATATGGATTTATCACACATAATAAAATAAAATAAAATGCTAACCAAAATGAAACAGTCGGAAATATGAGTGTGTATCCATCCAGGCGATTGTGTAAAGCAAACCTTACATCTGTCTAATCATTCCGTCGCAGAATCGAAACCTTAGTAAAGGGAAAAAAAGAGGAAAGGATATAATCAAACTAGGTGCATGAAGCTGACATAGTCATTATAGATTGTAAACAAAAGTAGGGAGTCTATATGCCTTAACGACAAATTCGACTATTTTTATTTAAACTTTAGCTACACTATTTCCTCATATAATGAAGGAGAAAAAATAAAATTAAAACTCAAAAATTTTCGAAATGAAATCTGATTCGACAAATTTTTTATTCCTTTACGTTCCCAGTGGAACATAGGGGGCTTCAAGCTAGAGGCTTGAAGTTCCGGTAGCACTGGTGTTTATTTTATGGGATGGGGTTGCTAGCCGCATGCCCAACCTTCCCTCTTTACGAGTTTTATTACTAGCTTGGTAAGGTAAAGGAGTGCGTCGATGACCGGGGATCGAACTCCGAACCACTTGCGTGGTTGGCGAGTATTCTACCGCTGTGCCACCGAAGCACGATTCTACTTTAGTTTGGACGAATAAATTTATCATATGTTATTTGTTGGATAGTGTTTCAAACATCATTCTTTTACTGTAGTTATACATAGTGATAAAGTAGATCATTTATCCTTATTTGATATTATTCCAATTGTGATTTTCCTCTGTTGATCGATTGTACCGAGATGTTCGGCCTCTGTTGACATCTCGGCGGTCCCAGGACCCACCATTCAACAATGTCTGAGGATTAACTTGAAGTAATTTTGATGGATGATGACTAGCAGTGGAATCTAGGATGAGCAGCATTTCATCACCATCTGGATGTACCTACATTCCCCAAAGAGCGATGGTGTTCACGCAGAGACCGAACATCTTGGTCTAATCAATTAACAGGGGAAGTCAAAATTGAATCGAAAAACAAATAATGACTGAGACCAGTCGCACAAGAAGCAGGTCTCGTAAGCCAAGTAGTCTAGTGAAGCACTCTGCCGTTTGAAACGATGAGTACTGAGAGTTTTGATTGTCTGTAGGAACACTATCACTCACTTACTGGAGAATGCAGGTACATCCAGATGGTGAGTTGCAAACAGGACAAAATGCAGATCCTGGATGCCACTGCTAGCTACCGTCCATCAAAACTACTTTAGATAATAATAATAATAGCTTTATTCCAGACAGTATTTGTGGTACAGGTATGGAATTTTCAGCGTGCATTACAATATTGCATCTAATTACCTCATAAATTTTTATAAGATTTTAAAATAAAAAGCAACAACAACAAAAGAAAAAAAGATGAATAAAAGAAATAAAAAAGAACAGCATTGCATTCACATTTTAAACAATGCACCACAGGATATGAAATATAAAATTAGTGTGTCATAGAATATGTGAGCAACAATATAATAGTAACAAAGAAAGGAGAACAAAAGCTAATGGGAACTATTTGTTAGATTGCCGCAGTAAGTTGATCGTGTCATACCTAACGGATTTCTCATCACATAACAGCTGTGCCAGACAAAGTATTGTGGATTTTTTGTACTTGGTATTCCTAGCATATAGCCTCCTATAGTTGCTTCTAGTTCTACCAGATGCAATGCAGGGAGAGAACTGCGTATAGAGAGGGTGTTCGGGGTCTGACAACATAGAATTCGCTAGTTTCTTACATGACATCATGTGTCTATCCACAATGGTGTTAACCAGTCGGTTTAACGAAATCCCACTTCCCCTACTAACAGCTTTTAGTGCCCTACGCAGCAAAGCAAAGTCTTTCTTAAGTAGTCATATATCCTGTTGACGAATCACTTATTTGTTCAAGATACGAAGAAAATGACTTCAGATAAGAAACTACTTTATTTATCTTCAATCAAAATGAAACATCAGTGTGTATTTGCAATCCTGTAAGAGTAGAAACAGTCCTTGACAAAAAAATGTTTCTAAACAAACGCTGGGAAATCCACAACTGACCGATTTAAGACAGATTTGTGACGTCATAGACACGCACATTCTTGATTAATGTATATGGTGATAGATGACTATGATGCTGTGTACTAGCTGTAATATTATGTCAGTTAAGACAACCATCCTCATTCCAAGACTACAGTATCCAAACGTCTTATCAAATCTGGGAAAAGGAGTTTCAGCTACAAAGTAAACTCTCTTCCTTTCACATCTCCCATGTATCTCCGCAAAGCTGTATCATTTGCTTTCTCTGACATCAAACCTATCTCCCCGCCGATGAACATCTCTTTATAAATATATATATATACTACTGATAAGTCTTATCAGTAGCACACGCCACAACATAGCGCCACAGTATTGTCAAGAAATTAAAGACAATTTTTTAAAAAAACAACGATACAACAGAAGTGCAACTAACTTACCACCTATAGCATGTTCTGTAACTTCACGTGTAAGTAAATCTAAATCTCTATTGATTCGATCATTTGATGCATCAGATGAATCACCGCCTATCATATTATTCTCTGCAGTAGCAATATAATTATCAACAAAGACAAGTAAATCCTTATTATTATTACGACTATGATTATGATTGTTATTATCATTATCATTATTTGAATCGTAAAGATGATGTAAACATTGAATCTCATGTACTGAAGAGATTTGATTTCGACTAGCTTGATTCGAAGAAAAATTATTATTTGACCAATAACAACCACCACCACCAACTGTTGGAATGTTGTTGTTCACCTCTTGTGGTACTGATGATGATGATGCATACGATTGTGTTGACTTATCCGCTGCTGAACAACTAGAATTCAATGAATTATTATTTCCAAATGATGTTGACTTGTAGGATGAAATAGGTGTAGGAGGATGAATAGTATTATTACTAGTATTGGTAACCACTGAATTAGGAATACATGGGATTGATGAATAATTATTATTATTCAGGGTAGATAAAAAGTTTCTTCTTGAATTTCCGTCAAAAGTAGGCTGGTTAGTTTGAAGAGTAGTAGCTTTTGGATGATTAGGTGAATTTAACATTAAGGTTTGATGATGAGTGTTTGTCTTTGTAGGCGGTAAACAACTACACGAACCATAAGTCTGTCAATTATGCGAAAGAAAAAAAAAAAAAACAAATACAAATTTTGATAAACACTTTGACCTTTATCTAAAAAGGCTAAGAAGACAACAAAACCTCATAAAATCAGTTAACTTGACTAAGATTTCTTATCGTCAGAATAATAGATGGATATTTAGAATATCTGATGCATTGGCAGAGACCAGCGGTAGAACACTCTCCAACCATACATATAGTCAGGTCAGGGTTTCGATCGACAGCTGACGCATTCCTAAATATCACCCAGCCGGTAGTCCAAATTCATCTTCAAGCATAAAAACGTGATCTACACAAACTTGTTTTGTTCACATGATGCTTGTAGCATAGAAGGCACTGAAATAGGAACTAAGTTAAGCCCTAAATACCATATCTTGTTGATTTCCAAAAAATATCTTCCAACTAAGTTCTTATATTAAGAAGTTAAGTCATTCAGAAATCACACAACCTTTACTTTCACAAATTGTTAACTCTTCGATATTAGCTATTGTTCTTTATTATCGCTCCGCTTGAGTCTTTCCGGGGCTACTAAAAAAAACTATGTCATATTGGGAAGGATATTAAATGGTTGTCAGTAGGGTAGGCGATGTGCTCGTTACTATTGTAGTCGACAGACACCGAAAATTCATATGAGAAATGATCTAAATCCACATTGTCTGATTTTCAACATCCCCTCTTTATTCACAACTCTTCGTTTGCATCTCATCAGGTAGGACTGGAAGTTATTATAAAACATTATACACTCAGAATGAAGAGATCATTGAAGTATATGCTGACGTGTTTGTTTTCCATAGGAATCTATTAATATTAGGAAAACACAAACTTGGTGCATTATGGGCACCAAGAAATGCACCAAATAAAACCTCATAGTTTGTCCCAGGGCCAAGGTACTGTGTCTGGACGCTTACACCGAATTAGGTGGTTTTTCTGAGAAGCTGACCCCCCCTCCCCGGAGCCTCAGACCTGAAGTCTATTCCATAAGGTAGTGGAGCAGTGTCGGCAGCTGAGTTCCTGTGGTTGACGGTGACGAAACCAGGTTCATGCGTCATTCGATTCTTTCGGATTCTGAAGCCCATTTACAGCATAGGTTTGGAATCAGGGTTTTCTAGCTACCCTAGGTAGATAGAAGATCATGTCCACCATTCTGGTTGTATGCGTGCCAGATGTTCCAATTCACTCATCTAATTTTGTGAGGGACATCCTCCTCCAACGCGTGGAGGCAGTGAGTGGGTGAGACTTAATTGGCAGAGGCTATGAACCCGAGGCCACATGAGAGCAATTTGAGAGGAAGATAGAAGTCTACCCACCCTCGACCTCGACTGCACCAGGTAGTTTAGAAGGGCTCTATAATTTAATTTTAACGAGGAATTCCCGTCAAAATGGAGTGGTAACTATGGATTTATTCAGGCTGGAAAAATTTAATTATTTCAGTGATTAATGAAAAAAGAATATTCTTTCCGATAACTTCTTAACTAGGTTTGAAATTTAGGGTAACTGATAACAAGCTTTTCGTCGTATACACATTGTGTATATATATGTAGCCTTATCTGCAAAAATTCGTGAAGGATTAGTTGCAGATATGATGAACAAGCGATCCGGACTTCAAACAGAAAAATAAGCTGACATAGGCGACAGTTCAAAACTTTTCACGTTGATTAATCGTTATTCGCAGCACAATATAAGTGAATATATATGAGACCTGAAAGAAAATTAATCTGATGCTCACTAGAGACGGGCTACAGGACAAAGTTGCCTGGGGTTCTAGTAAGGAGTCCGTGTGAGGACAACTACTCGCTGATGATATTGGCTGCCGGTGGCGCTGAAATCGCGAACTGATAGAAGCTAAAATTCGTGGGCCATTGGGTCCCATCCCAACAGCTGAATGGTATACGAGCTTGCATCATAAAACCTAAAAGTCCTAGGTTCGACCACCAGTAGGAGTCATAGCTTTCTACTGTTAAAGAGTCCCAAGCTAGGACGAAACAACTATCCATTGCTCCCTGGTTTTTTAGTGGTTATCTAACTGAAGTCAATCTGTGGTAAAACTTGAGACATAAACGGTACAAACTATATGAAAGTTAGCCACAGATAGTTATTTATTGCATTAGTTGTGAGAATACTGTGTTGAAAGGCTACTATGATTATAACTCACTAAACCAAAGTATCAAATTGATTCTATAAATTGATATATACTTGGATATGTCTACTTACGTTTTGATAAGCATTTTGAAGTGATAGCATACAAATTGGAACATTTGGAGTTTGTAATTGCTGTAGTAGATGACTGTCAGGATTCATGTTATCTGAACAAGATCCTTCACATGTTGACAGCGGTGAAATATTTGAAGTGAAAGGAGCCATTGGAAATGCAAATCTGTTATTAGGCGAAAGCCAATCACTACATTGATTGTTGTTACGACAAACATCAGAAGGCGAAGGCATCCGAGTAACTGGAGCTGTCGCTAAAGGTATCAAGTTTCGGCGTGGAGTTATATTGATGGATGGATCAAATCTTGATGGGCTATGAAAACGTGGTTTCGGCAGCTGTGATGGATAACCAGATAGCTCCATATCAGAAGATGCTTGTGGATGGTTTGTATATCCTAAATTAAGTGAGTTGAGATTCCCTGGTACACCAGTTCTACCTGAAAAACAAGGTGAATTTGGACTAGGCATTCTACGCCTGTTGATCGATTTGCCAACTATGAGATGGTTTTGAGGATCACCTACAGAAACACTATGTCGTCGTGACATCTCCGCGGTCACAGGAATGTTTAAAGATGTATTCGAGTGGATTGAGCTTGCATCAACAATTGATTGTGGCGGTACTTCTAAACTATCCATAGTAAGGCGTGAAGAAGTATCCTGAATATTATGAAAACAAACATTTGAAGGAGAAAGAGAATTTGTCTGAAAAGTTTTATAGCCCAAATGATTAGAGCCTGTTCGTTGTTGTTCTTGACTTGTATAGTGAGTTGGATATTTACGAAATCGATTATCGAAATAATGAACTTGTGATACAGAACGAGGACAATAATTATAATAATTAGAAGAATCAGATTTCGATTTTGATGAATAAGCATGAGAATGATGATTTAAATATTGACCGTAGACAACAAGTACACGATGTTTCCAAAATAAGACAAGCTTTTTCTGTTGTTCACTGAAAGCCTAAAAAGTCAAGTAGACAGGGTTAGTGATTTATGAGTACTACAAAAATACTAATTAGACATTTGAAAGTATAATTTCTAATAGGTTATGTATATTTCGATGTGGATAAGATGAAACAAAATGAACTTTTCTGATAGTACGAGCATTACTGTAGCTCATGCGAAATATTATTTTTTTTTCTAAATAGAGGAGTTTTCCTGATCTATTTATAATTATTTTCAACAGTACGCACGCATTAGGGTTTGAACTCAGACCTTCTGGTTATAAGACGAACTCGTAGACCACTCAACCCAGACCCTAACCGAAAGATAATGAGTTGGAAGCCCAGTGGATGCATGCTGTAAAACTGTCCCAAACTAAGATGAAACAGCTGTCCAGTACTCGTTGGTTTCCCAGTGGTTCCTTAACTAATCGGATACTCACTAGCAACTGATTCTATACAAGAAGTTACCCGGAGTTCTAGTGAAAAATCGTAACCAGACCAGCCGGGTCTACCAAGTCAGGTCAGGTAAGAGGGCAGTTATCCGCCTACGAAACTGGCTGGTGGTTCTGAGAAATATCGCGAATTGGCAGAAGTTAAAATTCATGAGTCTTTGGATCAGGCCCCAATAGCTCAGTGGTCTATGAGCTCGTTTTGTAGTCGGGCGCTCCTGGGTTCGTACCCCGGTGGTTAGTACTAGCTGAAGGGTCCCAAACTAGGACGAAACAGCTGCCTAGTACTCCCTGATTTCCTAATTATTCCCTAAATAAATATTCTGAACAAAAAATAATTGATGCTACATACTTATTGTTTACAATGATGCTAGAAAAGCTGAATATGTACCTAAAATGAAGCTACGATTGAGGAAACTCAGCATTCTAAACGATTTAGTACAGAGGTTATTGTCATGGTACAAGCACGTCCTCCGAATAACCTTTTCATTGAAAGACTTCAGCAACTAGGTGCTGACATCATTAACTTCTCACTAGAATCAGTTGAAACGCCACACCTTGCCTTTTCTTATAACAACCTACCCCAACAACTCCAACCAACTACCACTTCCTCTCTGCCAATATGAAATTCAAGTTGCTAGAGGGATAGAGTGCTGAATAATCCCTCAACCTGGTACTGACAATATGATAATGACCAATAAATTGCTCTAGAAACATCATCATCATCACCATTCAGTAATACTGTATCATTATGTGTATTGTATCCAATCCACTTAGGTAAAAACTGAAATGTTATTTATAAATAAATAATTACAATATAACTTCCACTTACTACATGGCTTAAAATCATTTCCAATATCTGCAGGAATTCTTCACATGAATTGGCATCTGGGTAGGCGTTGACTAATAAACCCGAGCATACTACAAAACAAAAACAAAAATAGCAGAAGGATATAAATAAGACGGTGAATACAAATTTATTGACTTGACTGAAAACAGTTATAATTTTTTATAACGGCTTTTGTCAATGACTCACCATTACGTAGATGAATTTTTATCATATTGCTGATTATCAGATGGAGAATTATAGATAATCAGAGAGCATAAGACAGCTGCCCGTCTTAGCTGAAAGTTTCTTGACAGCAGAGACTCAATATACTGGCAGGGATGAAGAATAGAACCAAGAGGTTAACTTAGCCAACTGAGTTGCAATAAAGTAGTGACCAACGATTTCCAGTTGTCACCAGTGGGATATCCACCATGACAAAAGGTGAAGTGGATGCTCATTTGAAGGTATTCATTCGTAAGGGCAGCAGCACTACACATCACGAATTGACAAAGTTAGAATTCAGGGGTCATTGAATTCCACCAGCTCAAGTGGCTGCTGAATGGTCAACAAGTTTGGTGTCGTAACCTGAAGGTGCCGGGTTCCATCCCTGGTGGGGTCGTGGGTTTGTGCTGTTGAAGAGAGAGTCCCAAAATAGGTCAAACCAGCTGTCTAGTAGTACTCCCTGGTTCTTAATGATCTCTACAATTGATGTTGGTTCATGATAAAAATTTGACAAATGAAATCAACGTACATTGGTTGTGTAATATGGAACAAGCATCATTTAATGCGGTTAGTGAGCGACCCTCAAACACACTCTATATAATGGATGCCAAACATTAGAAAATTCAAGAAATCCATATCTTGAAGCCAGTCATTACATACGGGAGACAAAATATGGGAATTTATTTCCCATGGCACCGCACAAACATAAGCAAGACACTGGAACTTTGTGACAGTGAGAAAACCTGCAAGCAATTAGTAGACTGATGCTGTAATCACTTCAAATATGGTAGTGTGATAAGTGAGTAAAGCAATTACTGGAGGGAGGTCTAAAACTACGATTTATTACAGTGTATTAGTAATTTGTAAACATGAACTGACTGACTGACTGGTTTCAACGCAGGACTTTGCACAGATGTGCAGCAGTTCGAGTTGCTACACTCCGATAGCTGCTACCTTGAGGTGATGGTCGGGCTTGCATATCGCAATGACCCAACAAGCTACACTGGCTGGAACTATTGTTCCTGCAGGCCCTAATGTAACGACAGAAGACGAGGGCCAGGCAACAGATCGTTTATTCAGAAAATCAAGAGATATTTATAGATTTATTATTATTCGTTATTGTCAACAGAGAAGCAACGTCTCCTGATTGGTTGTTTTCTTGCTGAAGGTTATTCTATCATCTCTTTGTTGCCGTTTCTTAGACAGTCCAGTGATATATCTGCTAATCGTATCCGCCCACGCTAAGTCTGCCGTGATTGGTTGTTGAGTTCCTCAAGGTTAGGCTTTGTTCTTGTTTTTCCCCGATTCCCCGATTCCCCCGATTTGGGACGTAAACATTGACGTCCATTGTTGTCTACAATTTTGTCTTGCAGACAGCCCTCACCACACTACCATGTCAGGAAGATTATTAGGATAGAGATTAGACTAAAAGCAGTTACCAGCTTAGTGTAAGATATTTTTACACTATGCAGGGTTCTGTGGGAAAAGTCGTGCTGCTGGGGAACGGGGATATAACAGCCGTAAGGTGTTCTCCTCCGATGAGCAGCATAGCTGGCATGCTGCTCATCTGAGGAGAACCTTTAATAACCCCCTCTTTCCAGAGTGAAGAGAGGGGGTTACTAAACGTCAAAGCCAAAAATTGTACTTCCCGACTCACCGTACGGTGGTGCGTAGCCGGCAGTAAGTTACTACTACGGAACCAAACCTAAAAGCCAGTTCATCAAACAGGCCGTGTGTGACCAGCCCCAACACATTTTCCCCTGAGCTCTGCGGTCACGCAACACTTATTCTCTTTCTGTTTCAGGTACCCTAAAAAGTAAACATGAACACCAACGAATCAATAACAAATGGCTTTAAAATCGCTGTCTACACTGGCTATTTGTCCATAGTCTAACAAGAATATTCATGCCTCTCAGACCTCGTATATTTTCAAGTCTTTTTGAAAATACCTACATTTCTTGAGGTTGAAAAGCACACGTGTTTTTTTTGTGCACTATGCGACAAATTATTTATTTATTTAAACGCAGAAAAACTTGGTACAATATGGCACCAAGAAAGATGCGCCACACAATATTGTGTGAGGACTGAGATACTGCCCGGGCGCCCAGACCGAAGCAGGTGGTTTTATTAAGGGACCACCCCCCGAGCCTTTGACTTGGAGTCTAATCCGCAAGGCAGCGGAGCAGCGTCAGGAGCTGCGTTCCCATGGTTGCCGGTGACCCATATGGGTTCATACGCCATTTGATCCGATTGAATTCTGGAGCCCATGTACCCCATGGTAACTGCTTTTAGTCTAACCGCTATCCAAACAACCTTCCTGACATAGTAGGACCTGCAGAAACATGAGTCCCAGCCAGTTTAGCTTGTTGAGTCACTGCGGCATTCAAGCCCGACCACCCCGGCAAGGTAGCAGTTATCGGTCGGGACCATGCGACAAACGACTACTATTCAATCTTAACCGGATTAAAAAGAAACATAGTAATTCATACACCTTTTGAGCAGATAGTAAGTTACAAACACGAGTCACCTGTCATATCCACTTAAGGAATAAATAATATACCAGTTTTATCAATATATATAATATAAAACAATAGTTACAAGATATAAAAATCAATGGGTTTGATTAAAACAAAGCTATAACGAAAACCTCCAAATCTCAAAAGTGTTTCATCACACTGTGGAATATTTGTTTTCTTTGTTTTATACTACTCAAAGAAGTTTCGCTGTGTTATGTTTTCCATCTGTTTTACTACCTTAAACGGTGTGTACAAAAGTAATGTATGCCAGGCAGAGTGAATCAGTGAACTTTAAAAAGTAGAAATTACCTTTTCCTATTTACACCTTTGTTGTGCTAAAATGAACTTTAGGTTAAAAGACAGACTACTAATTAGTAGTAGGAAAAGAAGCAATTTAGAAAGTAAACAATGTATCAGTAAGTTCAATGAAATACAATATTTCTACAAGGGGTATTTTAAAGTCCTCAAAATGTGTCAACAATACAGTCACCTAGGGTAGAATTATTATTTGGTTACAGGAATTCAGCGTGAGCTGATATCGGTTAGAGAACCAATGGAAAACATGGGAGTACTGGACAGCTGTTTCGTCATACTAGTTTTGGGACTCTTCAAAGTATGCATCCACCGGGGTTCGAACCCACGACCTTCCGGCTACAAGGCGAGGTCATAACCCATTCAGCCATTGGGACTCGACCTAATGAATAATCCATGAATTCCAACTTCTGCTGACTGAAGATATAGCGCGACCACCAGCCAATGTCATCGATGAGTATCTGTCCTCACCCGACCTGCTGTACCCCACTGGTCATGACTTCTGACTAGAACCCAAGTGACTGCCTACCAGAAGAGGATCATCAGACTCACATTCAATTGATGGTTTGCAGCTCATAGACGAGCTCGCATTGTAACCAGAAGGTCCTGGGTTCGAACCCTGGCGGTGGGCACGTACTGATGAAGAGTCCCAAAACTAGGACGAAACAGATGTCCAGTAGTCCCAGGTTTCCCAATGGTTCTCTAACCGATGTCAGCTCATGATGAAATCCTAGTAACCAATCAATCAAATCCCTACAAACCAACACTTGAAGACTTATTATTATCTTAAGTATCGAGTCGAACATAATGCTTCGCGTCAACGTAGATAGGCGTAGACTTCCTGGTTGGGGTCCTCGGGACAGTAGAAACCAATGGCTGGAGACAATCGGTGATGTGGCTCAAAATCGTTCTCAATGGCTGGCGCAGATGCATCCACTCATTGTGACTTATAATACCTAATAAAACTATATCGTTCTTCGATATTACTATTCCTTTTGCCTTATATCTCTGTTTCTGTCGCTATTTACATTTCCGTTTAATTTCTTCTCTTGCTTTGTGTGCTACATGGAGTGTGGCGACTTGAACTGCTGCACATCGGTGTAAAGTTCTATGTTGAAGCCAGCTAGCCAGCTTCGCGTCAACACTCCTCCGTTTCATCCAATTCTCTTCAGCCCCCCTTTATAGCTGACTCCAAGATTGCCCATAAGTTTTCACCTCCTCCAAGACACACTCGGACTCACACCATACTCATCGTTACCCATTCAGATTCCACTCGAGCAATGACCTGTCTGGTGCTTTGTGTCGCTCAATGGTCTCCTCAGTGTGTGTCCCATCCATCTCCATTTTCTTCGGAATATGTGTTGGGCGATTGGTGCTAGGTTGATTCGTTGCTACAGTTCCTTGTTGATTATCCTTTCTGGTCAGCCGTCTGATCTTCAGCAAGGAGCCAGAGAACATATCTGTAGCCGAAATTCTGAAGCCTGTTCAAAATGCTTTTGATTGTATGTGCTTCAAGTCTCTGAACCACATAGAAGAAGTCACTGACTTAACATTGGTGTTCAAAATTCAAATTCTGATCTTTACGCTGAGTGCAGTAGTAGACCGGTAATTTTTAAATCTAGGTTGTTCATTGCATACATACTATCAACTACCCAAATAAGTAAAGATTTAGGCACAACTAAACATGAATACGTATATAATTTGAAACGCATTACAAAAGATTTTACAGAACTTAATTCATTTGAGATTTTCCCGTCGATTGACTGGATCGAAGTGCTCGGTCTCAGGAGGTTGGATATGTCGGCTCCATATGCAGATACTTCGACGATGTCGGGTCATGTAACCTGAAGTCAATTGGTTGATGGTGACTAGCAGTGAAATCCAGGATGCATAGCACTTATCCCCATTTGGGAATCATCACTGGATGCACCTGCATTTCCCAGTGAGTAATGGTGTTCCCACCAATGCTCGAACCCAGTGGCCTTAGTTTCAAAAGTCTAAATTGAATTAAGTAATCAATGAGACCTGTTGCACAAGAGACGGCTCTCGTGGCCCAAGTGGTCTAATGCGCAACGCTTTTTCATTTGTAACTACGGGCACTGGGTTCGAGCCTCGATGGTAACACCATCACTCACTGAGGAATTCAGGTACATCCAGATGACGAGTCCCGAGTAGGACGAAATGCGCATCCTGGATTCCATTGCTAGTCATCATCAACCAATTACTTTTAACTAGACATCCGGTGCATTATTTTTATATATCACATTATGAGCCACACTTATTGTGTACACATTGAAGTATAGCATATGGAACGAGATTCGGGTACCTGCGACCCAATGATTGGAAGCTTAATGCTTGAGTTAATGAGCGACATCCCCACAAAATATGTATACATATATATGCATTAAAATCAACACGGGGAAAAACAATCTAACCTTTTGTTAAACAGCTAATAATATATCCAGGTAGATTTTCATCATCAGACTTGTCATCACCACCATCTCGTCTACCTTCATCACATTCACCAGTAACAACAAATTCTTTATTTTGATGTAAATTCTTTGATTCAGTATTAGTATTAGTAGTAGTAGTATTAGCAGTAGTCGAAGCATTAGTAAATGCAGTTGATATGATATTTGGATAGGTTGGAGACCAACACTTATTCTCAAAGTGAACTTGATTACATGTATTTGTCATGTTGTTGATTTGTTGTTGATAATAACACATACTACCTGGATATGATAAATTCTCATTACAAAAACAGTCATAATCGTTATTGATAGAAGGAATATTCATTATATAGGATTATTATCGGATTAGCTATTGAACTTGTATTACAAGTATTGCACGGATTATTATTATCTCTACTTTTATTATCGTGAATATTCCCAACACCACCAACACCGCCACCACGAATTAAATGATCTTCCGTATTAGCATTATCTGTTGTCTGAATAACTGTTATTGGACAGGTTAAATGCGTTGAATTTGTCATGGTATTGATAGCAGTAGGAGTAGTAGTTGTTGTTGTCGTTATTGTTGTTAGAGTAGTCGGCATAGTTGACTTTCCTGAGGTTAGGATAACAACAGATGAAGATGACGATGAAGATGAAGAAACCGAAGCAGAAGCAGAAGCAGAAGACGACGACGGAGATGGCGAGGAAGATGAAGATGAAGCACAAGCAGAAGCAGGTTGACATAAATGCATGGAATGATTATTTATTGATTGAAAAAAGCATGGTTTAATCGGTGTCAATAGGATATGCTTAATTTCAGATAAACAAGAATGCACGGTGGATCGTGCTAATTGACCTGTGGAGGGGATTTCGGAGAGACACTTTTCCATTGTGCATAAAATAGACTTTCTATGTTTTAATTTTTCAATGCTCAATAGGATTTTATTTCTTGCGCCTTGTGTAACGTCCTGAAGGATTATGAAGAGAGAAAAAAAGGAGGCAGGAATGAATTAGTAGAGAAACTATCAAGGAAATTCTTGTAAAATATTTTAGAATGATTAGGAAAGGAAACGGCAAATAAAAACAACAAACAGTTAACATCATTATCGATTAAACACCCTTGAAAATACCATACAGATACCACTGCCGATAAATATTAAAATAATACAGGTTTAATTGTCAGCTGACATCAGTTAAAGAACCACTGGAAAACTAGGGAGTACTGGACTTCTGTTTCCTCCTGGTTTCACTAAAAGTAAAACAATACGACGAAAAGTTGTCCAACGAGGTTATTTCATGTCCATAACAAAAACTAGATCCAGATTTGTGGAATAAACACTTCTACCTTCACAGTCATTTAACAGAATGTTGATTTCAATCTTGGACGCTTTCTATCAATCTGCATCCACACACTACTGATAAATCTTGTCAGTAGCATATATGCCACAATGTTATAAAGTTACATCATGTGTTGGTGTCAGTCAGAGAACTACTGGAAATCGAGGACTGAACGGAAGCTTCGTCCCACCCAGGACTCTTCAACAGTGCTCACCCACCGAGGTTCAAACCTAGAACCTTTTGTTCAGCCACTGGGACATAATCCAATGACTGGCCTATGAATTCCAACTTTTGCCAACTGGTGATATATACAGCGAAACCACCAGCAAATGTTATAGGCGAGTAACTGTTCTTTTACTTGACTTGGTGGACCCCGCAGGTGACAACTTCTCACTGGGATTCTGGATAACTTCCTGTATAGAGCCAGTCGCTTAGCTCGGACCCCAGTGCATGAGTACTACTGAAGAGTCCCAAACTAAGACAAAACAGCTGTCCAGTACTCACAGGTTTCCCAATGGTTCTCTAACTGATGTCAACTCGTGATTAAACCTGTAACTAATCAAATCCCTGCAAAATAACACTTGAAAATATTAAAATAAGCAGCAAAATATTGAAAAATTATTAAAGTGAGGGGGGATAAATATCTCCAGCTAAAGGGACTAACGGTTAAATTCTTTTTTCGTTAAGAGTGATTCAGTTGAGGAACTCCTCTGCACTAATTCATTTTTATTTTATTCCTTCCCAGTAGAACAGGCTTCAACCTATGAAGGCTTTGAAGTTTCACTACCAATAGTGTTTAGGTTTTTAAGGGGCGAAGTTTCTAACCTCACGGCCAACCTTCCCTCTTTATGGGGATTACTACCACGGATGAGCGAGGTTAAGGAGTACGTCGTTGGCTGGGAGTCGAACGCTAGACCACGTGAGGCGTGGTTGGCGAGTATTCTACCACTGAACCACAGACGCACTTTTTGCATTAGTGTAGATATCAACCGTGAATCAAACTTTCATTTTGACATTATACCCTAGTACTTTTATAGAGTAGATGAAAGCCTAACCACATGAAAACCACGAATATATAATATATATGTAGCCTGATACTGTGGAGGATGAGTTAAATCTTTTGAGGAAATCCTAACAGAAATGGATTCGTTAAAACTCTGAACTACTACATGAGTGAATTCAGACTTAGCTTCCCATATCATGGAAAAAGGATATCACAGTCCCTGAAAAAAACATTCTCTGTTGCATCTCTGAGAATAGCCTTTACTAGTCGACCATCACTGTTCAATAACCTGAAGGACAAGATCCCGCTGTTGACCAACTCAATGTGTGTTTATCAATTCAACTGCTCGTGTGGAGCTAGGTATATCGGTCGTTCGACTCGAGTTTTGTCCAAGAGGGTGCAAGAACACTATCCTGCATGGTTATGAAGAGGTGGAAGTGAAGCAATAAGAAGCGCGATCATTGAACATTTGGTCGATCATGATCACCTTATCTCTATAGCCTCCGCCTTCAAAGTCATCTACAAGGCAAAAAGTAATTTACGCAAATCCCTACGTACCCGACTCATCTGTATTGCTGAAGCTTTGGCTATCGAAACAGAAAAGCCAAATCTCTGTGTACAGAAAAAGTTCGTTCAACCCCTCCAACTTTCATGGTCTTAATCCCTCTATGCTAAAGTATGGTAATCCCTAATCATATTTTGGCTCTACCAATTTTTTCATTTTGTCTATTCAATTTGTATACTCTTCCTTATTACGTCAATTGTTACTATTACTATTCTCACTTTGAACTGTCCCCGGTATTATTTCACTTGTTCCACTTGTCATTCTAAATCAATTCTATTTTGCAAGTTAAATTCTATGCTATCAAATTTCACACAATATTACGTAACGTTCTTATTTTATTCGATTTGTCTACTAATCCTATAATTGCACACCCTTTTCAAGTTCTATCCATCCTATGAATTATTCTATATATGACATTAATTGCTTTGCCACTTGACATTTAACCATGGTTATAATCACAAACATTTTAGTTTTAATTGCATTTCATATTATTATTATATTTCATGCATTCACACCTATGATTTAATTCCCTCACCGGATATAACTTCTTAAAAACCATGTATATACGACTGTACAGCTTGATGATAAATTCGTTGAAAAGAGTCTCTTCGCTGAATCACATATATATATATATATATATATATATATATATATATACGAACGGGATATTTTTGCTTTAACAGAAGTGGAAAGTCTCCACACACACACACACACACTCAGCTTGAATACTTAAATATCAAAGTGTTTAGGGACAGGATACGATGGCCCACATTCAGAAAATTCTTCAGTGACAGAGATCAAAAATTATTGGCTAGAACGGCTAAAATCCACTGTTATGTATTGATCAGTTGTAATCCCTCAAAACTAGTCAAAAACATGGTTCACTTCACTTCATAACAAATGAAGTAAATTTATTAATAACCACAAGCGAATCAGTTACACTAAAAGTGTCTAAACAGCCGTCCGGTTAGCCAGGTTAGCAAGTCACTACTGGTTGATGTGAATGGTATTCAACTACTCATCTCAATCAATCAGTAGTACATAGTTTTGAAATTATACTTGCTTCTTTGATTACCATATATGGTACCCAAGGAAATCACATATTACGATTTTAGTAATTTCGGTTTCCAACGGAAACTATGGTGAAATTACACCTCCTGGGACTGTACAGATTGCCAATTAATTTGCAAATGGCGAATTTAATTTATGGAATTACCAGTTTGTTGAAGTAGCTAGCCAGAAATTTAGTGGCTTCAACTGATTCAGCCGTGTGAGCTGATTCAAACCCGCTAAACGACTGATGAGCTCTACATGAATGGTAGAATTCAGTCTGTACCGAACGAAAGACTACACGCAGGACAACATTAGTTACTATCTAGTATCCAATGCAAGTAAATACAATGCTCTTCTGTGGTGAAGAGACTTATCTGGGAATAATACGATTATCTTGTTACAATCTAGTTAGAGATGAATAGTTATCAACCTCAATTGATTTGCAATAAAATCCAGGGGTGAAATGCCTACTAACCAATCTATTTCTTTTTAATTGAAAATTTCAGTAACAGCAAAAATCAACAAGTACCTGTAGTCATTTATAATTTATAACTTGAGATATGCCGTCAATTAGGCCATAATAATTGCAACAGCTGAGTGTGATCATCTTGATACTAGAATATGTGACTTCTAATATCAGAGCACTTCCCTGAGAACTTGTATTTACCACAGTTATCAATACTTAGGTGGCTAGCAAATGAATATAAACAAGCACATTTACTTGGATACAATGAAAGCTACACAAATTTAAATTCTTAACGATTCAGATATACGTAATCAAACATTTTAGGAATATTCAATATACTGCTACCAAGTGAAATACACTATACTCCAATATGATGCAAATGAATAAGTTTTCAAATTCGCAATTTGTAAATTAGTTAGTGGTGCGTCGGTGGCACAGAAGTAGAATGCTCGCCAACCATGCCTCATGTGGTCCGGGGTTCGGTCCCCGGCCACCGACGAACTCCTTTACCTCGCTAAGCCAGTAATAAGACTGGTAAAGAGGGAAGGTTAGCATGAAGCAACACCATCCCGTAAAAACAAACACCCCTGCTAACAAAACTTCAAGCCTCTAGCTTGAAGCCTTATGTTCCACTGGGAACGTAAAGGAACGTAATTAGTTTGCAGTTTGCATAGTTCAATGAGGAGAAATTTCGCCACAGTTCCTTCCCTCTAGGAACCAAAATTATTCAGATTACAATGCATGTGATCTGCGTGATATCATAGGTGGTAATCAAGAAATCAAGCATAACTTGCATAAGACTATATACTATTGATTTATTGTGAGTAGTAGTATATAGCACTGCATACAGTAGTATGCTCTGGTGGCAATATAGTTTTAAGCATTTATACTTGCTTTCTTGATTACCATTCACGGTAATCAAGCAGATCACATGCATTGTGATCTCAGTAATATTTCAATTTCCAAAACAAACTATGATGAAATTCCACCTTCTGGAAGTGTGTAAATTGCTAATTGCTAATTAATTTGCAAACGGCGAATTCGATTTAAGGTGTTCCCAGTTCGCTAAAGTAGCTAACCGGAAATCGGGTGATTTGAAGTGAGCTGAGTTTAACCAGGTACACCGCTGCTGACAGGCTCGGTTCCAAATGAGCGGAACAGACATAGGGGGTTTAGATCACTTCGATCTGGCCCGGCTAGCAAGCACTACTCTGGTTGATGTGAGCGGTATACAACTATTCATCTCAAAGTTCAAGTCAAGGAAACAATCAGTACCAATACAAGTAGCCTAGAGGGTGTGAAAACACACAAAAACAACCAATCACGTTCAAGGCCACCGGGAGAGATGACTAATAAACTTGTGGAGAAATCTAAAAGCTCACTTCAACGAATTGAAGTATGCGCTGAAGATGTTGCCTATTAAGTAGGGCAATGAAAGCTTCGCAAATCAACTACCAGCTAGCTCAGAGAACACAACCACATCAAAAAACTACTCATCTCAATCAATCTGTAGTACATAATTTTACGCATGAATAAGTTTTATTTTGTAGTATATACATACATGTAAGAAAACAAAATGAGTAGTTGAGTGATGTGGCTTTTCTCGGAGATTTGATTTTCTCCAATTGTAGGATCACATCTATAAACAATTTTTTTCTACATAAAGCATAGTAACAGGAGAGATGAACTGTCGTAGGCACAGTTTCTAAGTGCAACCTGATTACAACTCATTCACTAAGTAATTTGCCGCAGAAAATATAACCCTATCACTCATATTCAACTCGCTTATGCATTAATTAATAATATTAGTAACGATGATCATGACAATTTATGTCTTTCTCATTACTACTCCCTCTTTTGTGAAAAATCACATGTAAATACGATTGTACAGTTAAAGAAAATGAAATTGCCGAAAAAACAGTCCCTTTATGGAACTAGTGTGTGGATTTCTCGTGAATATAGATATATAAATATTTATCTGATAGACTTAAAACTGATTGAACTCACATGCTCTTTCAACCAATCATCAGTGATAGACATCATTTCATCATAAGATAGATTTTGAAAAAGACTAGCATATTTGTGTAATCGTAGACTTTTTAACCAAAATGGGACAGCTAAAAATTGTGGGGTAAATAAAAAAAAAACAGATTAAGAGCACAACGAACACAATTATAAATAATAATAGAATAGAAGTTGAGGAGAACAATAGTGCCGATTCGAAGATGAACAATAATTTGAAAGTAATTTCCACGGTGAATTGCGACCATGAGAAACACTGATGCAATGACGATAAGTGTTTGGCTTATTGTGGTAGTAAAATGTGAACAGATAGAATTCAGTCTGCGCCAAACAAAGCACTAGACACATCACACTAGATACTTACTATTTAGTGTTCAATCAAAGTATCCAATACAGTCCTACAGGAGGTCAAAAGCGAGCTTGAATACCTCAATGGTAACATCTCTAATTGGCTGCAGTACTGAGTGATACAAGTTCAAATCTCAGAGGGTTCAAGAGTTCCTTCAATACTGCAGATACGCTTTGCTGACGAGTGCCGACAAGCGCGAAATCTAGGTCGAAGGGTTCCTGTCGATTGCCTTCAACCATCTAATAACAACAGTTCAAAGTGCACTGTAATGGTGAGCCCCTAGCATGGTAGTGTCGAGTGCTAGGTAAGGAGGGGAAATCAATCGACGAGACTGTGAGGCTATATCGACTGAGATGATTATATATATTTTTTATTGTAGCCTGACTCCAAACAGTATTAGGACATGTGTTACGTATGCCTAGCCATCGCCTTCCTCGACAACAGGCAATGTTAGCTGACATAGGGTCAGGCTGGAAAAGAGCTAGCGGCGGTCAAAACAAAATACGACAGTTAGTTCAAGCCAAGTAGGGAGGTGTAGACTTCCTGACTGGTTGGGGTTCTTGTGACGGTAAACATCAATGGCTGGAGACAATGGGTGATATGGCTGGCTCAAAATAGTTGTCAGTAGCGCAGATGCATCCAATCCTTGTGACTTATAATTTCCAATGAAATTATATTGTTCTTCGTTATTACTATTCCTTTTGTCTCATATCCCTGTCTACTGTCTCTATTTTGCATTTCTACTTTCTTCTCTTGCTTTGTGTGCTACATGGAGGGAGAGTGGCGACTTGAACTGCTGCATATCGGTGCAAAGTTCTATGTTGAAAACAGAAGACAGACAGACTAGCATGGTGACCAAATCGCAAACTCGACTGACAGAATTTAATCTACACCGATAAAAGACTAGACGCATGACACTAGATACTTACTACCTAGTGTCCTATTTTTTTCAGTCAGTAACTAAGGTGACAGTAGAAATAAAAGTTGAGTTGAATAAAAACTGTTTATCATTTACAATTACAATTTCTCAATGAGAACGAACATAAAATAGTCTGGGACGAATAGGCTTCAGAAATAATTTCATTTTGCCTTGTATAAAATTTCAAAAATGACTAATTCCATTTAAAAGGTTGTACCATATTTACACTTTTTACAAATGCATTGGCCACTTAGAACAGTATTATCAAGCTTGTTTAGGAAAAAACGGATCGAAGAACCCATTGGTGGCATCTACAAGAGCAAGTGGGTTAATGCACACAAAAATGAATAACGAAGTGACAGGTTGGATTTGCACAGAAAATTACTGTCAACAGGTAACGAATTTTTATTTCCCTCAATTCTAAGGGTAATATTGTGAAGTTGTTGAAAATGAGCTTAGGCACAGCTCTAATTAGGATACACACACACGTTGGACAAGGCTAGTCGGTTTTTGTTGGAAATCTTAGTCATGGTACAATCAAAAATTGACAGATAACAGACTAAAAGTTACTTCCGATAGTGTTTATCGGTCGATCTATGTATATCTGAAGTAACAGCTACATTGACTTACGTAAGACTTTTTGAACGTGTTGAAAAGCCTTCAAATAGAAGAATTAAATTATTTGAGGTCATTCTCTCTAACCTCCTAATAAACAGTGCACACCACCAATACACTTTAGAATAATAAATAAAACAGCCCTAGCTATCGTTGGTCCATTCACATTATCGTGATAGAAAACGCTTGAAACAATCTGTGTCACTAGGCGGATCCAATACTGTCAGCCTTCAACTACCTTGGGAACCTATTTTCCTTTATTCTCTGCTAAGTTTATCGCATTATCAATCTCGATATACACCAAACTTGACCACAAACCCTTTTTTTGATCTTCTGAGTTCCATCCATTATATCTTACTCCAGTTTGCATCATATATTCACTAAACTTCAATTGTAATCATTCTGTTAGGGCGGATAATCTATCGTTGTCAGCCATGAAGTCATGATTTATGCATGCACTGGAATGATACCCTATAAAGGGCAGTTTTTGATTGGTTTATTCTGGCTTAATTCCGAGGTTTTGTAAGCTGTATATACCACGTATTTCGAATAATAAAACGTTGTTGAGCGGTTGCTGCTGCTGTCATAGTTAAGTCTGACTTTCTTGTCCATATCAGTTTCGGCGGGGAGGGGGGGGATATTTTCAAGTGATTAGTTGGTTAAAGTGTCGTGTCTAGAGGAGTATTCTAGTCAAGCCAGACGACAACCACAAATTCAATATATATATATATATATATGTCGTAATAGGACTGTCGATTTAAACACGAAACAGCGTTTATGAGGTCAAACATCGGTGGCTCAATTTAGAATGCTTACCAGACACACCCAGAGGGTCTCAACTCGATTTCCACAAGAAGGTAATCTTACACCTCGCCTAGTCTACACTAACCAGTAGTAAGCCAGGAAGAGAAGAAAGGTTGAGCGTGGAGGGGGCTAGTAACCCAACCCCGTAAACACAACACATAAAAAAGTAGTAGTACATACCTGTCATTCCAGAAAATGGATTTAAAAAGTTATTCTCTTCAGTAGTAGAACTATACTGCGAAGTACATCTGCCATCATTAGAACTAATTGCTTTAACCGAATTCGTAGAAACACTGAAACACTGACTTGATCCATCTTGTGTTTCAGGAAAATTTATAGAAACATGATCAAGTAATTCTTCACGTGGATGACAGTGTGATGTCATCATATGAGGATAAATATTAATGTTAAGTGATGTTGCTGATGATGATGAACAATGATCATTCACCATCATGTTGGAATGCTGATTTGTCATGGAATTACGATCATCAGAAGGGCATTCACTTTCAGACGTTTTTGTTAGACATTGATTAAGTGAATTGCTAGTGTATATACTGAGATTCTCGAAATTCTTTACAAGTTCTGGTGATGTAGAAGTTAAAACTATTGACGTAGGTGAATGTGGGACACAAATCTGCACATAATAAGTGAATGTAGAAGAAAATTAATACAATTATAGAAAAGCATAACACACAAATCCATTTAAAGAAATGTAATGCATAAAAAAAGACTCAACAATTTTATCATGAGCTGATAATAATAATAATAAATAACTTCACACGACATTGGGGAGTTGTCAATGTCATGTATGCTTGGTATTAGTGCTGACTGGACCCTACCAATCAAATTTGCAATGTGTTCACACCAGGCTATAAGACTCGCAATCGCGGCTCACTTTGAATTCATGTTAGGCGGTTGTGGGCAATCAGCAGAAAGCAGGTTTTTTGCTTGTTGGCACTCGTCAACAAGGGAGTATCTGCAATCTCCAATAAGTCGAACAGCTCAGTGGCAACTTCTCTGACTACAACATTATACAATCACTTATCACTCAATTATTTTTTTTAAATAGGATAGTTATTAGAAGTCTTTTTATTAAGCTTGATTACTTTTTTATGTTTGTCTATATTTTTTTTATTTCATTTGCGTTCCAAATAAAACATAGGGCTTTAAGGTTGAACTTTGAAGTCTCTACAGCATTTCATGTTATTTTTACGGAGTGGGGTTACTAGGCACACGCCTAGCCTTCCCTCTTTAGCGGGACCACTTCCGTTTAATAGAGGTTTAGGAATGCGTTGGCCGAGAGTCGAACCCCAAACCACATGCTTGGCCGGCGAGCACTGTGACGCTGCACCACCCACACTTGTCCATATTTACGCAGCGTGAAACAAACTACAGTTTAGAATGCCTTGTTGTTGCCTTGTTCTCATTTAGGTTTCGAATCTACAGTGGCTGGATGTTATTTTCTTTTTAAATCCAAAGGTACATCGGATTCCATCTGCAACCGAATTATGATATACAGAACTATGGATATGTTCTGGCACAGCGATAAAATGCTTGCCGACCACGCCTCATGTGGTCCGGGGTTCGGAACCCGGCCACCGACGAACTCCTTTACCTCGATAAGCTAGTGACAAGCTCGATAAAGAGGGAAGGTTGGGCATGAGGCTAGCAACCCCATCCCGTAAAAATAAACACCACTGCTACAGAAACTTTAAGCCTCTAGCTTGAAGCTCTATTTTCCACTGGGAACGTAAAGGAATAAAAATTTAAAAAATAATATATATATATATTAAAAAGAGAAGATTGATAGGGTCAGACGCAATTCTACTCTTAAAATGGTTTCCTTAGATTGCATCCTAGTTGGATGAGTGAGATGTGACATGGTTTATCTGTTATTATTATTTATTATTTTACCCCTTTGCATCCCAATTGGAATACAGGGCTTCAAACTTGATCTTTGAAATTCCAGTAGCAGTGGTGTTTATTTTTTACGGGGTGGGGTTTATAACCTCACACCCAACCTTCCCTCTTTATCGGGCCTACTACCACCCAATAAGCGAGATTAAAGTGTGTGTCGGCTGGGAATCGAACGACGGACCACATATATGGTCGACGAGTATTTTTACCATTAAACAACCGACGCACAAGGAATTGAACCCAGGACCTTCAGGTTACAAGGCGAGCTCACCAACTATTCAACCACTGGGACAAACCTGGTCACGTTATCGATTTCAGTCTTTTAGCTCACTTACTTACCAGATTTCCTATTTACTTTCTAATTTAAAAATAATATCGCTCATCCAATCACATTTAGCAAGTTGATGTACAACTGATATGATAATTTAAGCGAAAGAAGTTACAATGACAAACTTATAGTAATTAATTGTTTGTCCCAGGAATAAGTTACACACACATACACACACATACTTAAAAGATGACTTACACCTAAATCTGGATTACTTGATGAAATTGAACTTGAATCACTCAATGTACTACTTATTGATACTCTTTGCTGGCAATCCACATTTGAAGACGATTTTGCTTGTCCATCATCTGTATCAACTGCTGGAGTTTGAACAGTTGTCGGTAATTCTGATGAACTGACTACTGGGAGGTCATTGAAATCTTTGGCTACTGTAGCGGTATTCTGATTTGAATCTGAGCCAACATCGTCTAGGGTTTTATTTCCTTCATTATTCTCATTGGATGCCGGTTGTGTAGGGCATTGTGAAGATGATGAGGAGGAGGAGGGGGAGGGGGAGGAATAAAAGTTAGATACTGTAGGGATGTCAGACAGCCTTCGATAAGAGAAATGTGATGATGAGTTGAATGGGTAAAGACAATTGTAGAAACTATTTGATAAACCACATTTACCATCAGCATTTGGAACAGTTAACAATGTACCATAATTCGTTTTTGTGTTATTCAAAGTATTGTTAGTATTAATTGTCTGAGATCCGGAATTAGAAGCTTCCATGAGTAAATCATACTGACTATCTGAACCACCAGAACCCGATAGAAACCCAGAAGAGGTCAGTGAATGTGAAAGTGATGCGTCTAAAAATATTTTTTAAAAAGTGGAAATAAAACAATAAACGTTAATAATAAAAGGATACAACTAACTTGGAAATACTAGTAGCTAAGTTGATAACTACATCAATTGAACACTTCATAAATAACCAAAGATTTTATAGTCCCTCCGGTAAAATACAGTCTTATGGACACCTTGAGAAGAGATCTTCGAATGTTTGGCACGCGATTTGCTCCTTTCAAATATGAGGTGATGCTACAAGATTGGACTATATCAACTCCTAGCTTGAAGACAGGGAGTGAAGTGGTAGAGCATGTTGACCGCTTCACTTGTTTGAGCAGTTCCATCAGTCTCAACGGACTAATTGCTGCCGAAATCTCAGGACGAATATAAAAGGCTCGTGTGGCATTTGTCAACTTACGCCATCTCTGGCTTAGTAGGCGTGATATTCAGCTATCAATCAAAGTACGTGTGTATTGCTCAGCAATTTCCTCCATCCTCCATTATGGCTGTGAGACATGGTCATTAAGAGTGGAAGACATGGAAAGGCTAGCTGCTTTTGATCATAAGTGTCTGTGTTGTATCTCCCCTGTTAGGTAGTACGACATAATGACTAATATTGAGGTTAAGCGTAGAGTATTAACTAAGGAGGGAAGTCAATCGATGAGGTTGTGAATCTACATCGATTGATTGAGATAGTTAAGACATGTGTTACGCATTCCTAGTCATCGCCTTCTCTGACGGGCAATGTTACCTGACATAGGGTCAAGTTGGAAAAGAGTTAGTGGTGGTCCAACCAAAACTCTGAATCGGTCCATGAAAACCTTGACAGTTAGTTTGTACCACGTAGGGAAGTGTAGGCTTTGTGTGTGATCACGATCCTCGTGATAAAAAACGCTCATGGATAACTATATGCGTCTTAATTAACCACTGATTTCAATTAGTCCAATTGACCAAATTTGTTGTGTGCAGTTCAGTTTAAGATAAGTGAATCTGTATTTAAGTATTGCTTTGTAGGGATTTGATTATTATTTATTTATTTATTTAAACGCAGAGAAAAACTTGGTACAATATGGCACCAAGAAAGATGCGCCACAAAATAATAATAAAACGACATAGATCAAAAGTAAAAAATATAAGTACAGAACGGGTAAAGAACTTCATCTGGAAGGAAAACAGTCATATTTAACAAGTTCAAACAGTATTCGTCAACTATCATCGGGAAGGCAAGAAAGAAGGAAATTGCAACACGTTCGCCACTATTACCATTCTTGGCCATATCCGATAACGTTTCGAGCCATTGATTCGGGCTATCTCGCGGACCCCAACCAGGGAGTCGTGACGCATCAACCGGTGCTAATCTAGCACAAACATCCTTCATCCCACGACTCCACGTCATGAACTGACCACCCCTCCGCCTTTTCCATCCCGTCCCAGGGCTAGCGAACAGAGACCTGTACGGAAGCCTCTGGGATTTGATTGATTGATTGCAGGATTTCAACATGAGCTGACATTGGTTAGAGAACCATTAGAAAACCTGGGAGTACTGGATCGGGTCCCAGTGACTTAATGGTCTACGAGCTAGCTCACCTTGTAACCAGAAGGTCCTGGGTTTGAACCCTGGCGGTGGGCGCGTACTGCTGAAGAGTCCTAAACTAGCATGACAAAACAACTGTCCAGTACTCCCTGTAGGTTTTCCAATGGTTTTCTAACCAATGTCATCGCATGATGAAATCCTGTAACGAATCTGTATTTGCTTTCTGTAACACATCCTTCATAGTGCCTTGCTTTTTTCTCTTCTATATTCTAGAACCATTTTATTACATGGTAATTCAAACAGTCGAACAGCAGGACATTAGATGACGGTACATTTTGTATTCTGGATTTTAAAAGCATTGAACTAATTAAGAAAATTAAAGTACTGTGAACAGGGAATTACATATAACAAGTAATATATATATATATATATATATATATAATATTCCCACCTGACTTCATTCGTTGCAATGCACAAGAAAGATCTAAGCCCAGATCAATTAAACAGTCAAACAATTTTGAGCGAAGATCATCATCCATAGAATTCTCTTTTGATGACAGATTATCTTCTCCTGACATTTTTTTGTATTTACTTTGAATAGAAGACAACAACCACTTTCGATCATCTTCATTGAGTGATGTATGTAGAATTGTGGCTATGAAAAGTTGACCAACAGATGTCTGAACTGCTACTTCACGCAATGGAGCATTACTACACTGAATTTCTTTCATTAACGCGTCATAATCATCAAGAAGAGAAGAGACGAATTTTTCACTAACTAATTCTAAGTATTGTTTCTTAATTTTCTGAGAATTCTGTGTTATCAATTCAATGTCTGATGGTAAATCATTGGTAAGATTTTTAGCCTGAGGAATAGAATAGAATTCGATATGATCATCTTCTAACTTATTTGGAACAGAATCATGACGTAAGTGTTGACAAGATTTATCATTATATTGTAGTCCAAACTTTTTTAACCTTTCTAACAGTTCACTATTTGACGATAGTACAGTTGAACGATTTTCTTCACAATCTGTATGAAGCAAAAAAACAGAAAAGTAAGTTAGGAGGGTTTTCAAATACCTAGACAATAACACAGTCAAATGCATTTCATTTTTGGAAATCATTATACATAGAATGAACATCTTTGTTTCTCTCCAGTATAAACGAAATTCGGTAAAGACCCTCAGCTACACGGTCAGAGATAACTGTTCAAAAGATGCGATTGAAGCCAAACTTAAGATTGTATAAGACACATTGATTGGAAACGGTTACCCAGAAAAGTTTATCACTAAACAAATGGCCAAGAGGGTAGAAAAGAATTCTTCTGTATATGTTAACAAGAAGCCTATATATATATATATATATGACTACAATTCAAAGGTGAAATAAAACCAAGCCGCAAAGATAGCTAGCATCATCTATCAGATATCGAATAAATTACCACAGGTTTCCATATACAAAACACTCCAAACAGTAGAGGCCATTATAATTCGCTTAAATCAGCAGAAGCTGTGTAAAAGAAACAGGTTCATCCACTATTGCTAGCCTGGTCTGCTGTTTGAGCCTATAAATTCCAGTTACTCCCTTTAATTTACCTGATATTCAGTTTAGTGATGCTTTCGAAAAATAATCAGTCGATACCATTGATTTGAGGTAACTTAAAACATTAGTGATGTTAATAAGAATATCTCCAATTATTATATGGTCATATAAATGTAGAACCTGGTGACGGATACACTTTATTTATTAATCAGCCTTTTAAACTGCAAAAACCTAATAATAATAATAATAAAACCGATAACAGACAACAAACAACATGCGATAAAATTCGGTTGACACAAAAAATAAAATACTACAGAATTCTTTTTAAAAATATACTACTATGGTAGGAAATAAAAAAACCAGCAAACGAAAGCAAATAAAAAATGATTGTGGACATGACAGAGGAGATAACCAATAAGCATAGAGTTATGCGAAGTACAAAGGATGGTGGAAGATTCATCTACGCGAGTGTCATTCACTTTGAAAAGTAACAAATGACTCCCAATCCCTAATTACTAATATATTGAGGAATTTTAATCATACAGCTTACATGACTTCATGGATAGGTGACATATATCATTAGGTATGCCTCACCTACTTTTTCTTGAATTAATTTAAGCGTGTTTGATAATGCACATCTGGAAAAGATGATGAAGGCTTTACCTTGTAATGACTGAATCACTTTTAAGTAAAACAATGCGTTTAATCTACACATCATTAACCTGCTGATTTCACCTCACAGAAAAATAAATACCGTGCAAAAAACTGGATACTTTATAAGCATTTAGTTATTTAGCTGACTAGAATAAATCTAACATTTTTAGCGTCATAGAAACTGTGTCTACCCAATCATTATTCCTATTCAATACAAGTGGTGCAGCAACAGTTTAAATCATTTAACTTCATGTAGGAGGGGGACATCAATGCAAGCTAATTCCTAGGAAACATTTTGAAGTTAACGATTAGCGTTCACAAAACAAACAGCCTTTTTTGGTTTTACCAAGATTCTCTTAGTAATCAGTCTGTTAATCACTACGTAAACTCTCTCCTTCAATACCGTCAACACAACCAGAAACAAATCCTATGAGGAAAACACACATGAAACAAAGTTTTCGAATAAGGAATGGCAAAACAAAATGAATCGTCTATATAGATCAAATGGAGCTGCATAAAAGAACAAGGAACAAATCATGTGAAACGAAACAGCAAATAGGGAATTGAAGATTGTGACAGCAGAATACATTTAAGAGATCATGAGCACTAAGGGAATGTAATAATAATAATAATAATAATAATATTTGATGCTATGGAGTAAAAATGTATGCATCAAGTGTATGTTTCACAATATGTTTTATGAATGACTGAAAGCTCAACGCATAACCTCACAGACATGCAATATTACAGGTTACAAAAGTTTCACAAAACACACAACAATACAAAACATAAATCAACTTATAAATATAGTGGACATAAATACGTTAGAAAACGAGTAATTTGATCAAAATTAAAGTGAGTCTGTAAGTCATTGGTTTAAGAGCTCGAAACCCTAAGGTCTCATCAGCCACGTAATATCATCAGCTCTCACATAATGGATGAAATTATTGACTCTTTTCTAGAGTCTGCGTTTTTTCATCGAGGAAGAAAGTGGCTCGATATGCATGACAAACGCACTAACCATTTCAATGGATGGAACTTTACAATTTAATTGGTTAACTTACTTTCCTTGTCCGCACTACGTTTAACTTTATTATGACTAACTTACCATATTAATTCAATTAATACGGAGACATTTACATTAATGTGGGTAACGATAATGCATGGTTCCCAGAAATAAGCAGCTGTATACTCATGTATTACAATGCAGGTTTGTTAGTTGTTTTCTATCACTTTTTTCTTCATACAAGCCCCGTAATAAGTAGAGAATGGTTGACCTTTTGCACTTAACAGCACATTTATAAGTCCTAATGAAATTACTTCTAGTTACTCCCGAAAAGATACAGACAGAAAGTTGTGAATAAGAAGGGTGGTTACTATCCGGCAAAATGACCTTAGTAAATTGTTTGCACGAATTTAAATGTTTATCAATAACAATATCAGTTAGTTGGATCAAAGCCACACCACTAAACCTTCTTACAGTTCTCAAAGTCCTACATAACATGCCATAGTCAAAAACCATGAGTATACTGAGCAGTGCTATGGAGAAACAGGCCAGTGGAAACCAGTCAAGATTTAGACCCACACGAGGATATATCGATTCTATTTTCACCCTTAGACAGATTCTGTAACATAGGCATACTGCCCCAAGCCAACACTAGTCATATTTCCTGGAATGAAGGCAGTATTTGACTCTGTCGACCGAGAAGTGCTGTGGCAATGTCTGGTAATGAAGGGAGTGCTGGGAAAGCGTGTCGCACTAATCAAGGCGCTAACTCTACTTGGACTCAGGCAGCCGTGCAAGAGCTTACTTTATTATTTTATTTAGAACACAAAATCTGGTATAATATGACACCGAGATGCATCATACAGTAATAATAAAACAACCTACGCAAAAAATTGAGAATCAATAAAGGACTTCATCTGGGAAGAAAACAGTTATATTTAACAAGACCAAACAGCACTCGTCGAATTATTGGCAGAAAGGGAAGGAAGAAAGAAATTGAAGCACGTTCACCATTGATTGCGATTCTTATTCATATCCGATAACGTTCCAAGCCACCGAGTCGAGGTAGTTTTCGGACCCCAACCAGGGAGTCGTGACTCACCAACCCATAACCTACCACAAATATCTTTCATCCCACGACGCCATGTCATGGGCCGACCAACTGCCTCCTCCTTCCATCCCATCCCAGAGCTAGAGAACAGAGACCGGTAAGGAAACCTCTGGGATGGCATTCGTAGCACATGCCCAAGCAACGGGAGCAGGTGTTTCTAGATGACTACACTGAGTAAATGGTGGACAATCGTCGTCTGAAGTAATGATGGCCAGTGGTGTCTATCCACGATGCTCAATGTTCCCATTTTAGTTTGATTTCAAGTTACAGATGTACTGATGGATGGGACCTTTTATCACGAAATTCTCGTCAATTCAGACTAAACAAGCAACAAAGATTAATAAAGCAAGATTTAATGAGTTTATCAAATTTCGGTAGAACTCTTCAGCTGAATGCTCTAATACGGGGATATATATATATATATACTGTTGAAAATACATGGGGAGATATAAGACTGATAAGCATATAAACTACATTGAATTAATCATGCAGAAAGACAGGTGCGAATGTTTTCCAGTTCATGTTCAAATAGATAAGGGGAAGGGAGTATGAGAGATTAAAATTAAGATAAAATGCATTACGCTTCAATTACATCACCTAAATAAACAATTAGTCATTAAATAATGTATCAAGAATTGCGAACTGAGTAACATTAATAGTAATAGTTGTTATGTATAATAATAATAATGCTGAAATGAGTAAAGATAATCTTAATGATAAAAGATGGTTTTAAATGAATCATTCATTAAATCCTACTTTATTAACCTTTGTTGCTTGTTTTAAATTCGTATCTGGAAATAAACGCTTCCAATTTAGACTAAGCCGACACCATTACTCTTCCAGATGAAGACACATTTAGAGTTTACCTAAGTGGATATATTCATAAGCGATTCCCTTTAGTCCCACCCAAAATGCTAGTCTACAAACTAATCGCCTGAAAGATACAGGGTGCAAACGTTATACGTTTTCAGAAATTTACTATTCTTCGAAGAATCATCAACCTTAAGTAATTGCCCGTCGAGTTGATGCCACCAAAAAACAAAAACTTCAGGTTTATATTCTAATTCCTAATTGCTCAGGGCATCAAGTTATCGGATTTCCACGATTTATGCCTGCTGGTTTCACTTCTTACAGAGGATATTGCCTTGCGCGTTGATTAATCATGAATGTGAAACTGCCACGTAAAAATTTTAAGCACTGCTCGAATGTAAACAATATAAACTTAAGAGAAACATAGGGTTAGATCAACAGAAGGTCATATACGCTGATTTCACTGTTATTTGCTCGCAAAAACATTTATTGCTATGAAGTTAAATAAATGCTGAAAGCTTGTGAGGGAAAATAAAATAAGATCTACTTCATGTAAACGAGTCACCTGCAAAAACTTGGTCTGAACCTTCACTCGATTCCATCGTGGTATTGTTTAACCACTGTAGTGTGGCATGGCGGTAGCCCTCACTGCACTGAGAAAGAAGCACAACAGCCAGTAGAAACTTCTTGTGGTTACTGGCACATGATAGGCGTGATAAGTAAGACAATTCCTATTATCGTAATTAAAGAGAATATTTCATTTCATACGTTAATACCAAACGTCTGCTCTTCGGCAATATAAAAATCCTCTTCAGATTTCCCACACAGACCGCCATCATAGCAATCGACCATCTCCAAATTGTTGTCCACACAAATCTTCGGGATTTTAGTCACGTTACATTGAGAATGAGTTTCTTCTCCTGCAGACATTAATGGAAATCACCAGACATAACAGTTAGCCATAGATAGTAGCACCACCTTTACACAAGCCGCGCAATAATCCACAAAATCATCCTAATCAATATCCAATGTACTTATTCTTTAGAAGCATATAAAGTGATAAAACCAATCCTGGTCCTTTAAGCGACCCATTTCACTTTGCTTCTAGTGTGTGTGTGTGCATGCGTAAACTGTTAGATACTGTTACAGGCGACATGGAGTAGGAGTCATTCCACGTTGGATTTTCTTAAGCAACTGCTTCCAATATCCAATATCCTGACTACAAGCTAGTATAAACCAGTGATTTCTTTGAGCTCGCTTCTTGATTGTAAGGTAGAGGTTCCAGATCTTCGGTGAACTTATGCGTAGTAAGTCCCGCCACTCGACTGCTTTAGCTCTGGTAGACTCCAAGAGGAGTGGTGCGGGGATTGGTCAAAATGTGGTTTGTAGTGTGCAGTATGCTAGGACTCAGTTGCTGCCGTGAATGGGGTTTGACCTAACACCCGTTGGTTATTCGGTGTAGTCATAAAAGCAGAATATTAATAATAATAACAGGTTGTAGTGTAGATAATATAGGTTGAGATAAGTGAAATAATAAAGGTGACCTAAAGAAAAGATAGAGTAGTCAGTATAGTGAGAGAAGACAGAACGGGTCGTGGGGATTTAGCTTGTATGCTTATCCATTGACAGTGTGGTTTCAAATTTTAAGAGACACACATTGAGACACAAACCATGCATTTCTGCATGATTGTCCAGCTTCCGCTTAAAAGTCTCCACAGATGGCGCTGTAGTTACGGCCGCCGGTAAAGCGTTCCAGAGACTGCAAACTCGAAGCGAAAAGAAATATGAACGCACTCGAGTCTTTGGTCTCTGGTGTGCTATCCGTAGCGGGTTACCTCGTGGACGCCTATAATCACTTAAGGCAGGATGCTTTTATTAGGGTGGACCTGGTCATTTAAGATCTTATAGACGGTGATGAGTTCTCCCTTGTAACTACGGTAATTAGGTGTGAAAAGACTTAATTTCTTCAGTCTTTCCTCAGATGATTTGTTGCGGAGGCCGATCACCCATTTTGTTGCTCGTCTCTGGACACTTTCTAGAATGTTAGCATCCCTTTTGAGTAGCGGAGGAGCAATGATATTATGCACCTCAAGGAGTGGCCTCACGTATCGGGGTAATTTGAAATGCACCCAGCAGGTTTTCGCACGTTGATTTTGCATTGTAATCTTGATGTTTTGTGGGGGTAAAATCCTCGTTACTGTTTAGTTGCCTATGAAAGGCTAGACTGAATGTCTCTGCCATTTCAAGACTAGTAAGAGATTTCCCATCAGAACCCACTAGATTGCAAGCTCCCTGGTTGGGAAAACACCCGGTATTCCCAGCCGGTCACCCATGCAAGTACTAACCGGGCCCAACGTTGCTTAACTTTGGTGATCGGACGAGAACCGGTGCTTTCAACGGGGTATGGTCGCCGACTGCTTGTTTGACTCGTACATACCAATTTCATATCCGGGCGTGTTCCCTAATGGAGAATCTGACTGCAACAGACTGAGACTCACTGTTAAAACTAGAGGGTTGATTTCCTCCCTAATATCTTTGAAACAGCCAGTAAATCGGCAAAGTTTAACTTATAGCATCGAAGAGGATTGAAAGCACTAGTGACTTTAGAAGGAGCCTAACTACTGGAAAGTCAGTTTGGTCTTCTAACCGTTACCCTAGCTACTACTTCATCTAACTATAGTCTGCCTAAAAATAACACTGGCATCTCCGTAATTATAAGAAAAGTGCGTAAATAGAGAAGGAAACTTCTCTTTCGATTATTAATTTTCATAAGTTGTATAATCGTAATTGTGTTTAGTAAAAAATTCAAAGACCAGTCAAGGTACTGGTGAGATATTTCCTCGAAAACGTATAACGTAATGTGAGGAGTAGTCTAGAAGGAGCGACTAAGTGGAAATTAGAACAGCAGCAAAGTTGGGATGACGTTATAGTGGTAGGTAATTCTCCAGAACTATTGGCCACAGCATTCATCAATGAACATTGGATGCTGTCCCTCACTGTTTAAGTCAACTTATTTAGCTGAAATCTTCCGGTTAAGCATCCACGCCATTTGGCAGGCCGTCATGCCACGTTCGTTCGTGCACGATCCCTAACTAGTTAAGCAATCATCTCGCACTCTATTTCCGTCCCGAAACATAACTCGTAATTCGGACGGTCAATTCTGGTGTTTTGTTTCGCCTGTGGTCTACACAGAACGAATACTATAGAAGTTGTGGGTATTAGATTTTGCCTTACTATACCTCGGACTATTCATGAACGTCAATACCGTCAGCCCCCAAAACGTAATAGGTGTGAAAAAATGACTATTCAATTTAAGTGGACAAGAACTGTATGAAAACGCAGTGTTAGTAATAAGTAGTAGTAGAGTGATAATAAAATAGGGATGATGAGAATAGTAACAGTAAACTTATATAACAAAAGAAACAAAATTATGGTGAGAACTTTACTCTGGCCACGGTAGGGCGAGTGAATGGATGTGGTGCCTCTGAATGTGGAGGGCTACTTTCAGATCTGGAATAGCCAATGACTTAGATACGTACAGATAGCTTATTCAAAGACCGTTTGTACAATATTGAGGGAGTCTGTGTAGCAGCATGAAGCATTCATGCTGGGGTACTTGACGTCTAGAGCTGATGAGATGTTTGAGGATGGAGCTGCTACTATTCTTCCTTCCTCCCCTGGCTAACCAAGCTGGACAGTGTTCCAGAATATGTTTGTAGAGTTGACATTGCATATGGCCGATATGCCCTGCCCCATATGAGCAGGTAAACTGATAAATACACACTGAGGTGACCAAAAGCGGTATCTTGCCATTAACGTTAGTCTGGATGAGTTGTCTGCTGGAGAACATGATGCGTAAGATAGGAGCTTGAATTGTCTTCTTCAGATATTAAAAAGGGTGAGTTCTAAGAATTTCCGCTTTGGTGTCACTTCTGAATTCCAAAAGAAGTTTTCTTAGGGGCAGTTGTGATTTTTGGGGAAGGAAGCTTCTCCTTCATATTTATGTCAATGAATCTTGTTGGATACCGATTCTCTAGTATCCTGGAAGCAAGTGTATATACCTCGCTATAAATCTACGAATTTCGAAATATATATTCAAAGCCTAACCGACGTTCGCTATTTAAATGGTCACTCAACGTTGTTTATAGCCTTTTCCAAACACCATCGATTTTGCATCGCGAAAACGCTCGTCAGTCACTACATCGTAGACGCTAACTAGTGATTTGACTGCCCAATGAAGACAGCTGAACAATGCAGGGTTTCCTTAAGAGGAAGGCTTGGTGAACATAATGAAAATTATTTCTTCTACTTTGTATATTAAGGACCACCGTTTACGGTAACCATTTGAAGTTTAGATGTTTTGTATGGGGTGGGAATATTCAGAGCTCAACAGGAATACTAAGAGAGATTTGAAGAACCTAATGACGTCATGCGAGAATTAGGATTGATCAAAACGATGAGAAAAATTACCGACCGACGATCAGTAATATTCTAAAGGACCGAGAGTGTTTATGAACCTATATTTCCGTGAAGCGGTGGATACCTAATCAATCAAACAAAATGTTTGTTGAAATCCTGGGCCATGGAAATTATAAGTTTAATCCTATACCTGAAGGTTGGTGGTCTTTCGTAGTACTCATTTGGTGCACCTGCTTTTCTCTGTGTCGTTTCCTTTCCAACAACCCATCAGCGATGCGTGCTAACTATTCAAGAGGAAAGCCAGGATCTTGGGCACCTAGTGCTTGTTGCACATACTCAGACGGGGCTTGCAACCATCCTTGCTTCAGCACAGCCTCTCCCACCATGCTGCTCCCTACAAGCTGCTGCAGCTGGGACAAGAACTCTGTAAGGGATCTACCTCCCTACTTCTACCCTTGAAGCAGCCGTCGTATACGTTTTTGGACATGAAGAGTCACTTTATCATCTAGCACTTGAACACTGTGCATGGCTGTTCGTTGGTGGAAAGTTGTAGAAATAAGTCCCACATCTCCTTACTCATTTCACGAGGTGGTTGAGAACACACATCCCTATGCCTGTTGGCTTCGGAATAAATTCTGTACCAGTCAAAGTAGTGACTTAGTTGAGCGAATCATAGTTCCGTGTCACGTTGATCAAATTCAAGCAACCTAACTTTGCTAGTTACTAAGGTATCCACCTCCACAGAATTGGAGTTTTTAATGCCACTATGTTTGGCAAGTGGGGCAATTTAATAAACGAAAATAGAGAACCAAATAACACGTGCTACAGATCAAATAAATAAAATTATTCGCAAAACAACCAAAAACAAAACAGTTGTTAAGAGTGTAGTCCACTTTGCGGAGTACAAGGCAAAATATAAGCTAAAAACCGGGCTAAACAATTTGAAAACCGACTTTTCTATCAAGATGATTACACAAATTGCCGACGACGACCAGTAATATTGTGAAGGACCGCAGGTGTTTGTGAACCTATATTTCCGATAGCATGGAGAAAGGCAGGTGAAGCGGTGGATACCTAATCAAACACACGGAAGGGTATACACCATTCAACAGATATAGAATTATCTGTTGCGTTGCAAGTTTTCTGTTTCTGCATGATTCATCTTTGAATATTCTTTCATAATTTATTAATAATATATTCTCATTTTGTAAACGAGGGACGCCAGTTTACAGGCAACACCAATTCGATAAATTACACACAGGATTAATGAGCACAGTTACTAATGATAATATAATAAGGTACATATTTATTCCTACCTATGTAAGACACAACATTTGTATAGGCATGGATGTGTATTACATAATAATATATTTATTCCTATCTTTGTGGGACACAGCAGTCGTCCAGGCATGGATAAGTAATATTTACATTACATGAATTTGATTTATGGTGAGATTACATGGTTGCTGTCCTCTCTGACATTAGTTTGTCAGTACAATCTACTAACTAGTCATTCAATGGAGCACATTAAGAAATGTAGAAATATTGTCTTCGCATTAACAAAAAAAGCCCAAGTATATGTTGGATGGATGACAAATATTCGGGAAGAAATAAAGCTTTGAGTGAATTCCTCCTGTTGCGTGTGGCATCGTATCTTGTCCTTGTTTTATGTTCAAATTGGGTATTAATTTGAAATGAGTGATTTATTTGTATGATTTTGACATCATTTTTATTGCAAGTAATACCAGATGTGAATTCAACTGAATGCAGATTAATATTGGTCATTGTCAGCCAGAGCCCGCCATTTGTCACTGCATGGTTGTTCCGTACGAGTAAGTTGTTTTACACGTAGAAAGCTATTTGTAAGCCATTTCAGATCATTGACAGTGCTTGCATAGGATGCTGTACAGCGTCTTGTTATGGTGACAGTGGATTTTATCAAGGACGCTGAACCATTACTGGGCAAAGCTTGAGGGATGATATATGAGTAAGTGAATTCAATTGTTACTCAGCTGCAGTCGGAATGTAGATCAATACAACTTCTACTACAAGGCAAGTACAATAGAAGAGGCGAGCAGCAAAGTACCACAGGGCAGAGAAAAAGTATGTGGAGTGGGACATATATGTTTATATTCGTTGTACATTGTAATTTGATGAGCAAAAATTTATTTCTTCTAAGTCTTTTTATGCATTTATGCTGCCAGTTTATTTATAGTCTTTAGAGAATTAAAGGTATTTAAGAGCGTTTAGGTACTGTAGTAGACTAATAGTTGATTCTTTCTAGGAATAAATAGTTTATTTATATAATCAGTAAAGTGAAATAGTCTGTACAGAGAGCGTCTGAAACTTATAACCGTATTGCAGTTCCTGACTTCTAGGGGCAGATTGTTCCATATTTTAGAATATATGACTGTGAAGAAGTTTTCGCGGAGTGTTGACTTAAAGGCTTTTATTGTCACTGTGCAAGTTTGGTTACGCAGATCGTAAGAGCCTTCCTGTGCGAATTGTATGTCCTTACTGTCTGAGAATGATATTTTGTGAAGGACCTTAAAGAAGAATATTGGGTTTATAATAAGTCGTCTTGTCCTCCGGAACATCACAGATTTCGCTAGAATATTAGAAAGTTATCAGGAACCATGCTATGAAATTTTCACGTCTGTAGTCATAGTCACTGCTGGTTAGGTACAAAGAAGCACGCCTTTGCTAGCCCGAACCATGTTATTTGCCGAGTTAACTTTCTGCGAAGGTACGACTCATTGCCCTTCAATCGCCACCCGGATTTCAATGACTGGTCAACGTTCTATAGTACGGTTAAAATTATGGCATCTATGATAGAAGAATTCAACATAAGTTTTTTTAAATAACTAACTGTGGAACCTCCAGGATTAATTAGTCTTAGTTTTGTGAGCCTTGTCTTGCATACCGGCTTACTGCCATTAGTTTCGCTTTTTCCCTCCAATACCATAGAATCTCATTGCAAGTCCGAATATGTGAGAACACTACCTAGGAAAATTCCTTGGAATTTTATTACTACATGAACCACTAATTTATGTATTTAATTTTTTGTATGGTTAAGGGAGCAAACTTCAGGGTGCAGTGAAATTTTCTGCTTCCTTAGCTATTTCCTTCCTACCTCTTTCATGTAGCAGGGGTCCTCAGAGGCAGACAAAGACCTACCTCGTGGAGGTGGTGTTAGTTAGCCGGCTTACTGCAGTTAACCAAAACGCCCTTTTCTTGACTTAACTAAGTTTCGCCTGCTGTCTCCACCTGGTTCTATCTCCATGTCATAATGCCAGTTGACCTCAACTCTAGCCCAATCAATGAAAAGCAAGTGCACTCGTTGGAAACCCCAGAATCCGGCACCGGAAGGTGGGTTAATCGGACCGCAATTCCTAAGGGAGGAGAGAGTATGATGTTGGGCCCAAACAACAGGGTGTGTTGTGGCCAGTTATGTAGTAAGTGATCAAGGTATTCAGAAGAATTAGTAACCGGGTAGGAAATATATTTTATTTATAATCAATTCGGTTTTCGTAACCTACTGAATGATGAATGACCTTCCGTGAGTTTGAATGTGTCTCTCGCCTGATCCACCCCCTGCTGTGCATTCTGAAAAAAAACCTAAAATCAGACGTAGTTTCCTGTGACGATACCAGCTGTTGGTCGGTAATTCTCGTGGTTATTTTGATGGGAACTTTGGTTTCTACAAAACCACCCCAACTAGTCAGTGGATAATGTCATACTAATGGACTTAGAGAATGTAGTTATTAACGACAGTTCAAAGTGAACGTAGAGATACAGAATCACACAGTAACGCAGCAACTGCACTATTTCCCCTCGGGAAAAAAATAGTCTGCAATGTGTTTCAATTATCACACTCAAACTAACTGACCGTTGAAGACGAAATCGCGGAAGTTCAACTGAATTGACTAATTTCTCTGGTCTCCAGAAGTTTGTCACCCTACAGACAAATATTATTCCCCGCTGATATCGATTCAATCGCGAATTCAGGCGTTGTTGTGGTGTCCTAAGGTTGGCATCAGAGGAACCGAAGGAATTTTCTACCTCTTGGTCCTTACTACCTACACCAAATGCAATGGCAAGTAGCACTCTGACGAACTTCCAGTTTTCCTTCTTCTCAAAATCCGCTGATTGGTTTATGTGCTTTTTTCGTAATCCGGATGAAGGCATTTGTTTTCCCTTAGCAGCAGAATCCTTTCACACAGAAAATTAATGGGAAAATATCAAGTCGAAAATATATGAAAGTAACACAGTTTTGACTCATTACTGAATACGTGCTCGCCAACCGGTCTTCAAAAAAAGAACTGGAATTTATTGATCGACCAGTCAGTTTACTACTTTTCCTGTGCCAACCGGTTTCCTAGGCTTGCCAACTGCCCCATCATTCTCTGAATGGACGACTGAGAGAAGTGATGGTAATTCAAGCAGGATTGCGATGTACGATGCGACCAGATCGTTATATACTACTAATTTGGCCAAATTAATGGATACTTCATACTTCCATACTTAGCAATCTGAGGTATAGTACCATGTGCAGCAAATAAGGGCTCAACAATTGCAAATCAGATTCATGGCTTGATGAAATCAAACTGCAGTAGATGCAGAAGAACAATTGCGTTTACTGGAGATTCGTGTTGCTCTTCATGCTCCTTATTATTCGATGGAGCAAGTGAACGGGTAGGTAAAGACATGTTAAGTATGTAAATATGTAGACAGACAAGTAGATACTCAAAAATTGTAATAGCAAACATGACAATAACAGAAATATGTATAGGCCGTGACACTATAACTGCTCTAACGGCCTCACCAATTCAGTCTGTAGTGGACTAAACAATGAGGTGTACGAAACACCAGAATAAAAGCCAAATCAATATAGAATATTAAACACTATATCACAGGTGCACAGATAAATGCGTTATGAAAGGTAAGGGTTACTTGTGAATGTGATTAGGATCAACTATGACAAACCGATAACACAATCTACAAATATGATTCACAGCTGGGTTGTGCTCAACGACAGAGGCTATTATCCAGTTGTGAAGAAATGCGAATGAGGGCAAAGTGTTCCTGTAATTTCCCAAGGATTCAACACGGGGATTAGCTGAGCAGGTAGGTAGGAGAAATTAGTAAGGGGGTGAAGCAACGGACAGCATAACTATATAGTTATTCGAAAGTGAAATTCATTTTTTACCAAGCAGTGAATTAAACAAATTTTATGCACAGTGTGCACATTATAACATTTGGTAAAAACTATGCAAATGTACTGTTTAGGCCTCAACAAGGTCATGACCGGCATAAAATGCAGAGGTGGAGAAGAGCAGGCGAATTATAAGGCATTAATGCAAATAAACAAGTGTATCGCTTTTTACCTTCACTGTCAGATTTCAGTACTAATAAATTAGAATCCTTACATAAAGTCTTTACTTGAATCAAGAGTTATATAACCGCCATTCTTCAGATAACCACACTAAAAATGCAGTCAAACAGACACAAGTGAAAGACTACGCATACCTGATGAAATTGTTTCGAAATATAAATATGCTGATGATCCTCAGTATGGCTGAGTCACTATACGGGAAACGGCTAAACAGACTGAATCTCATGAGCTTATCATACTATAAATAAAAAAGGACACCCACTGATGAAGGGTGTGGAATATGTAGAGTAACTGTGAAACTGATATGTACTGCTTTGGTCCTTTTACCCAGAACAGAACAACACAGGATGAAACAAAGGGATCCGACAGCTAGGGATTAACTATAAAAAAGTACAGTATTTGTTCTACAATCGAGTTGACACCTAGAACTGGCTTCTGGAATAAATTGTCTACGTCCTAGGCTAACTCATTCAAGTAGGACCAGACAAGCGTATCTACTAAATAAAAGCAGATTAATACTTTATCCCCGATTTAGAATTTCGGAATTCCAGAGTCTGCACCTAAATTTATTGATTGGAGAATACATTTATTTTTATTTCAAAGAGGTATAACCTTTGTATGCTGCATTCCGTTTAAATATGCAACAGGCTAAAAAATTAATTCTTGGGTTAATACACTAGAAAATTAACAACTTATGAAACAACCATGGTCACCCACTTTGTTTAACTTTTCTAAAGGACATCAAATTTCACCTACGCACCATTTAAAGATTCTTTAAAGTTCATAGGTTTACGAGACAATCAGTTGTTAAGATTCTTCCTTTACATATTTGACTGAAAATGGATTCCAACGCATTTATTGAGCAACAGCCTTCAACAAATGTTCGCACACAAAAACGAGAAACAAAGCATCGGTAATATTTTATACATTTCAGGATAACCGAATATCTTACTAAAGAATATTTGTGAATCGAAGTCTTCAGTTGGACAAAATAAAGTTTTTTGGATTCGATATGGACTATACTTTAGCGCGTAATGCATATGTCGTCATCCTTTTTAACACTAAACCATAAATTTATTTAGAGTACAAATCCCCGCAGTATGAGGAACTCGCATTTGACATTGTTAAATCCCGGTTGATTAAGCTTGGATATCCATCGAAAATTGCCGAATATACTTACGACCCATCATTCCCGCTAAGGTCAGTTGATTTTGGACGGTCTATAGTTCAACAATATATATTTATTTACTGATGTGAATACATTTAGTGACAGTTGTCACTAAATGGCACTTTGATTCCTTATACCTAGGGCCCAGAGGTCAACACTTTCAGTGCTCCTTAGACCAAGTTCTATACTGTGAAGATGAGCTACCACACAAGATCATTGGTGCAATGGTTTTTTAACAGCATACTTTTGTATTTCAGTGCATGTGTTACCAAATATGTGTTTCATGATAATTGACTGTCACAATAAAAAGAAATCCCTTAGCACTTAAAATAAGTGCAGAATTAATGAATGAGAAGAATTGGACCTGTAGGGGTTGAAGGTGTTGACCTTCACGGATAGTACGACGTATAATAAAGCAAGAGCTTTTACCCACAGCTTCTTTAGTATTCGTTCTGCGTAAACCAAAGATACAGCAAAACACCAAATTGATCGTCCAAATTACGAAGTATATTTCTGGACTAAATTCTTAGTGCGAGGATGATTACTTAACTAGCTAGGGATCATGCACGACCAACAGAACGTAACACGACAGCGTGCCAAATGACGTGGATGCTTAACCGCGAGCCTTCAGCTAAACAAACCGAGTTAAACAGTGAGGGTCAGCACTGAATATTCAGCGATTAATGCTGTGGATAATAATTCCGGGGGATTATCTTCCACTATTGACACATTGTATACCTGTTAGAATGATGAATTAGTCGGAGGATCACTTTGTTTAGCAGGGCTGAGGTATCACTGATTTGGGAAGGACGATTAGATACAGTGGATGATCCCAACAAGAGGAGAATGTCTGACATTTATGGGACTTCAATAAGATTATTTGATGGAAGGATGCACTTTTCGTTTGTCTCTAGTGGATTCTATTCCGATCATTTACACTTTTGCCATGTGAATTTTTTTCCTTGTCCAGCTTTTTCTACTGGTATTTGGCTAGTTATTAGGTGCAATCTACTCTCTTATAGGGGACCGATACTTCCATCTGAAGAGTAAGTGTCTGTGAGATGGATGAGTCGCGTAGTACAACTAAGGGATTTCTACGCGAAATAGGGAACGGTGAGGGGTAGATTTGAATCCATAATTTTGATTGCATTTTTTTACTTCCTTTATTTGTTAAATGTTCTATTTCTCAAAGGTTAAATACAAATTACAACCCGAATAGACGCTAAAATTTACCTCAAAATTTACAACTTTTTTCCTGCTTTTAATCAAAATGTTTGTATTCATCTATGTCCTTATCTTCAGTCCGTAAACTTAAAAACATGTAATTTCAAACAACAATTGACTTCTCTCTTTCTGGATTTTAACAAGGTTTATTCTATATGTCCTAGGGGCTTGTGGTTCGATCGACTTTATGGTACATTGTTAAAAATGGATCAATTTGGAAATATCCTTTCATGTTTACGTGGATTTAATCTTATTCAGAGGTAATTAATGAATTCATATATTTTTGCCGCGCATAGAGAAGAGCTTCGAGCAATGTACCCAAATAAATTTGTGAAGTTTGATGAGAAGCGTATCGAGATAATGAACACTTTATTCAGTCTTCCAGGTGTGTACTTTCTATGCTGAGTTAATCTTATCTTAGAAACCTATATGCTTACATGCGTAATTAACCATTTTGTCAGCGACTCTGATTACATAAAGACAGAGCATGGTTTGAAAAAGGGGACTTTGTATATGTCTTATGCTTCAATTTATGAGGATGTTAAGGCTGCATGTGACTGGATGCATACAGTAAGTTAAAATATAGTGGATCTCAAATATTTTTTTTAATTCTGTGTTACCTGGATAATATATATTGCATAAACTTGTGAGAACAAGTATGTAGAATGCATGACGCTTTCAATGAAATTTGATTCAAATTTTGTGCTTATTTTATGTTAATCTACTACATCCCAATAGTTAGTCATTGATAATTTCTGGCTATATTTTCTTGTAAGTTTCCTCGTTTACTAAAATATCAATTGAAACTTTATTTCTCTTGTTGTAAAACAGATTCACTGACTAGATGAGACACAGAGAAAACAGTGTGAGTTGGTTTCATAAATATATGTATTTTATATTCCCCTGTGATAATCACAGATAGTCACTCAGACCCATAAAGTGAGTAATATCGTAAAGTTCATAACCACTTGAGGAATCAGTGAAGGTGAAGCAAAAACAAAATTTAGAAAACTAAGGAATTTTCAAATATATATTTGTTGATGCGTTAATTACATAGATGGTCTCTGACAAATTGCTGAGCACATAATTGTCAGTGTCAGATAAGTGTCGTAGCTTTTACTTGATCTGATCAACAGGCAAAAATATTAAGACAAGCGTTTAAGATGTTTTCATCAGCTCTGATGACTGGGTTACTGACAATAGAAAAGACAGAGATTTGTATTGCGCCTACCAATCCAACCTATTGCAGGTCTTAATCACATTCTCTTAACATATTTTATTTTTTTTCTCCTCTTTCATTTACCTTGTATACAGTGTTTATATGTAAGTTGTAACAATATAAATTGACTCACAACTGAACTATTTGATTCACCTGATGCACCTTTTGCAATGCAAAGCTAAAGGTTATTTTTCAGGATTACTGCTGTACTTCAAAGCTGTCTTTGCATATAATCGCTAAACAGAATTGTTGTTGAATATTTTACTGTGGCTGCTATTCAGTATAGCTGCGATGCATGAGCTGAGCTGAGTTTCTAACGCTGCGCACAAATGCAGCAGTTCAAGTTGCCACACTGTATGTATATATATCACACAGAGGAGCTGTTATGCGTAGCTATTTCGTATGTTTATAAAATTTTACCATTCTGCTGTTGGTCTTCTCTAGTCGTCATCCTGCATATCCTAGGTCCATGAGGTTAGAATATTTCAGTTAACATGACCTTGATAGGCCAGATAAGACAAAATAAGCCATCATATCAAGATATCAGGTGTTGAAATGAAATTATATTTATGTATTTAGTTCTGATATAATGGATAAATGTTTGTGACATCCTCCTTTCGATTTTAGGGGGAACTAAAACAACGTACTTTGGCAAATATAGAGGAATATGTTGAACGTGATCCCCGTCTTTGTGTTTTGTTAGATAGGTAGGTGATTTTACTTTGCATCAGCACTATTAAACCCATTGATTCACATTTTACTAACAACTTAAAATCGCTTGTCATAAGAAGTTTTATCAGTACCATCATTCCATTTTTTTAGGTTACGTGTGAATGGTGCCAAAGTATTCTTACTGACAAACAGTGATTTTTGGTACTCCGATGTAAGTTCATTTATGCACTGAATTACCCTTTTGAAATTTAAAAGTTCGTTTACCAAGTCCTAGTGATGTTTTTTCAGAAGTACTGGCTAAATGTTTCAGACGCTCACTGAAGTAATGCCTCATATGTAATGCAATGAAATAAAGTTGAATGTCTTAACAGTCTAAATGGTTAAATAATTCTAATGCTTTACCAAGTAGATAAGGATTAGTAATTTTCCCCTATTTGTATTAATTACTCCATTTTTCATCAGTGATTTTTGGAATTTGAAGTTTGTCTGTTGCGCTTTTCTAATCACCACTTAGGAAATGCAGGTGAAGCGAGTACAGCCTCTATGAAATTCCTCACCGATTACGTTTACTACACAACATGCAGTGACAATTCTTACAAAAAGCTGTCTTTTGCTAATATTAGGCAGGACAACATAGAACCCTAAACAGAGAGGATTGGTTCGAGTTATCCCATCGCTCCACAGGTCAACAACACTGACCGGAAATAAAGTTATGGGCATTAACAAGATGAAATGATCTACTAATCCTTTACTGGCTGTTTTGGGTATGATGAGTAGATACTACTGCTGTTTTCTCTACCGAATCTTTCTTCACATTCCAGGTGGTTTGTCGTAATGTAGAATAAACAACTCAGTTAGTCATTAAACAACTGTACACATTCTGTATCATTTCACTTTGGTTTTGAGGTCGGTCATTACTTGAATGTACCAACTCACAGAATTCGATGTACCGAGGGTGCATTAATCCATCTGTCTTTACTAAGTGCTATTTTCGTTGACATTTAACTTGGTTTTCTCGGCTATGAGTGGATAAGTTTTTGAATATCATAGTATACTAACAGCCTGTCAGTGCTAAAACTTTGTTGTCTTACAACCCATCGTGATTAATAATTACTCCAGACTCTTCAACTGACGATAGTCAACACAAGACAGTGGCGAAACACATGTTAACTGTACACATATTTTCACTAATGTCGCTCAACAAAACACAGTTTATTAGTGTCTCCGACCAAATGGATTCTGCGTTGCGAGGTAGTCTGTTGGAAGTGGAAGGCAGACAAATCTCTCTGCACGGATTCCTCCATAGAGAGGCTGAGTAGGAATAGCGGTTTTGAACGCCCTCGGTGAACATGACTGTTTAGTAACTTTTCACCAACTGCTAAGTCGACCGTTTTTTCTTAGATTGCAAATGGTTAGAAAGAAGCAGTTTCCTTTGAATTTTCAAAATGTCTTCTGTTATCATGTTTTCGCTATATACTACTGTTTATTTTAGGCGATTATGAGTTACATTTTGGAAATTCCTAGACCTGATGTAAGTTGTGACAATTTTTTAATTAAAATGTTTGAATACTGTGAAATTGTATAAAGTGAATGGTTTCGGTTCGCATATATTTAGCATTTTTGTGCATAAATGATGTAAAACTGGATGATACACTTTCTCATAGTTCAACTTTGAGTGTGGATTGAAATCTGGCTGAGTCAATTGTTGCCTGGCTATTTGACTTTGGTCTTGGAGTAGGAAAAAAGTACTTTGGGTGTGGACTGAAATTCGATGAATGCAATTCTTGTCTGCCTAATTGATTTAGATAATTAATAAGATACACAAATTACAATGTAGCTTAATGTGCTTTTTTCATATGCTTATGTGGTGTATCTCTTCTAAATGACAGTGAGATGAAATTTGTTTGATTGTCAACTTTCTACATGAAATGTATGTAATCACTAATTAAGCTGTGCTAGCTATCCGTTTTCAGCCTATTTCAAGTTTCTTAAGGGACGTTGTTATTTTCCTTCTGAGACAGCAATTTACAAGTAAATCTTCGGATTTAAGAGATTTCTTTTTAAAAGTCTCATTTTCTCCCTCTAAAGCAAAAGTTTTCTTTTGGTTTCTTTGCTCAATGACTGTACGAACAATAGTGAATCGCAGAGCAATATATCTGCATTGTGCAAAGGTTTGTGTACTGTACTGTGATTCCGACTTGGCGTTTTAACTTTTATGATGCTATATGGTTACAATGCACGAATTTGGTGAAGGTGAGACTTAGTGGTTAAACACACCAAAGGAAAGTCAGTTACTAGAGTCAGTGAGCTACACTTCTCTAAATTGTTTATCTATCTCTAAGTTGAAGTGTACATTGTTGTTCAAAGACGAGGGTAATTCATATAGTATGGCAGTTGCATTCTGGAGCCTATCTTTGTTTAATGTTGCAGCAGCGGATTCCGCTTGCCATTTGTTTAAATTAAGTGTCAAGTACTGCCTGGTTGCACCACCAACTGGATAACATTTCCATCCGTCACATGTTGGATTGCTTAGATTGTAGCCCCTCAGATGCACTCACACTTAGAAACTAACAAATGTGCTAATATAAAAAAATTATAGATTTTAAGGTGTTTATGAAGAAAAGATTTTGAACGGATTTCTGTCCTGCTTTAAAACATCAGTGAAATTTACTTATCAAATAGCAAATCTATGTTGCATTTGCTAAATACACTGATAGATTTCTACGAAGCATGGAAGACAGAATTCACAGTATAAGACGATATCATTTTATTTCACCAACTGTAAATTCAGTGATATTAAAATGTTTACGGAAAGAATAGAGTCAACATACTTTAGGTAGTTAAGTTGTAGCGTAGAGGCTTGGTGGTCGGGATCTCGGTTGTTGAGTCAAGGTTTGGTTGGCTCCTGTGCGCATAAGTCCCTGAGAATATGTTCCTGTACGTACCAGCTGGAGGAGTGGCACCAAGGGTGTCCTGAGGTGTGAATATGAAGAAAGACCGTCTTGGGGGGCTCGTTCTGGGACTGAATCAGTCGCCGGAGTGGCTCGCGAAAAAGCAACGCTCTTACCCCTTTCCCGAAAAGCAGTTGGCATGTGCGAAAAGGGTAAACACACTTTAGTTAAGCTGTAACGTAGAAAGCATATTAGATAGGGAATAGAAAGATTCGGAGGATTAAGCATTACATACCGCAAGTCGAATCATTGCTATGGAGGTGAGCATGGTGCAGCTGACAAGAACCCTAGAATTAACCGATGCTCACACATTCCTACGCACAGTGATTTTATTAGTCTGTAAAATTGAATCGAATGACGACAACCCATTGGTTTCAATCTGGGATGTCTAATTTCTCCATTTTTATTTAATTTTGTCAGTGATGCACCTATTAATGATTTGACTTGTTGCCGAGGGCCTGCTTCATTCACTTAGAGTATGCAGATAATATTGTCCTTCTAGGTGAAGTCGCTATCGAAATGCATAGTCTTCTGAGCACCTTTAGCAGAAATCTTCTAATGTTTCATGCGCGACTCACCTCTGTCAAATGTAATGTAATGTAATACAGCGGCTGCATCGACTCCCATTTTAATATTAGGAATTGAAGTGGTTCAGCGCGCTGATCGTTTCATTTATTTGAGAAGTTACATCAGCCCTTATGGATTGACTGGTGTCAAGATCTCAACACGGATACAAAGGGCTCGTGTAGCACTTGTCAACTCACCCAGTCTCTGGCGTAGACGTGATATCCGGCTATTGATGAAAGGACGCGTGTACCGTGCAGTAGTTATCCACTCCCTTCTTTGTCACTGTAAGACACGGAGAGGCTAGATGTCTGCATTCTACCTCCTGTGTCAAATGTTATAGTATGGTGAGCAATATTGAGATTAAGCATACAGCGTTTGAAAGGGAATGAAAATCGATCGATGAGGTTGTGAAGCCGCATCGACTGAGAAAGCAAGGACAGGTATCGTGCATGCCAAGCCATTGTCTTTCACATCGAACAGTGTTAACTAACATAAGATTGGATTAGAAAAGAGTGGTCAGATAAAAGCATGATATCAGTCCATGAAGTCTCTGACTGTTGGTTTCAGCCACCCATATAATCCGATGGCTTACGTCCTACAGACTCTAAGAACCAATAACCGGAGACTGTCAGTAACATACATTCGTTAAGATGTTTCTCAATGATACATAGATGGCACTGAAATAGAAACCAAGTCGGAAATTAAATACCTAGGCGTCATTCTATCTGCTGATCTTTCCTGGTTGTCTCATATCTTGACGATTTCTAAGAAAATATTCCGTCTTACCTTCTACATTAAGAAGTTAAGACATTCTGGTACAACCCAACCCTTACTGCTACAATTCGTTGACTCTCACATTCGGTCTATTATTCTCTATTGTTCCCCCTTAGTTTTTCCAGGGCTACTGAAGAAAGACCATAACATATTACGCAGGACGTTAAAGGTTGTCAGCAGGGTAAGCAACATGCCACCTAACCAGCTTGTTAATATTCTGGTTGACAGGCACATGGACTCATGTGAAAAATGGGCCATATTTATTTTATCTAACTCACACCACCCTCTTCACTCACAACTCTCCCCTTGCATCTCATCAGGCGAAAGAAGAAGCCTATGTAGAAAACTATATGCTCGCACCAGCAAGTACAAAAACTCAACCATACCCTACTTACCTCGTGTTCTGTGCGATAAAGAAAGCATTAGGTGCGATACCTATAACTTATTAAATAGTCAGTAGAACAACTGGACCTCGTCTTTCCAACTCAAATCGTTTATAGGTACAACGTTTTCTTTCTTTCTTTTCCTTTTCTCTCTCTCTCTCTTTTCCTTTTTCCTTTATGTGCTGCTTTGTTTCTTTCTTCCGCTTACGCCAGTAAATATGATAGCATCTACTTTTCTAACACCTTCAAACACTCTGTTCAACTTTGGCTTTGCTACAGACATGCCAATATGTTGTTGTCATAATGAACTGAGATTTCCTTAATCTATGTAGAATTTTATGTACTGTATTTATCTATTTGTTATGTATTTTGATAACTGGATGCTATAATGTATTAAAATGCTGAAAATTCCATTCTGTTTCACAAGTACTGTTTTGGAATAAAGCAAATTATTATTATTATGTATAACTCCTTATGAACCCTTAGATACATCAAATTCTCACTTTTCTCCATGTAACTATTCTTTTACCCGTACACTCGCGTTTATTATAGTTTTTTAGCATTTTTTCGGTGCCTTTATTTGTACTTCATAAAGTGTGGCAACTTGAATCACGTGAATCAATTTTATACAAATTTCTGCGTTGAAAGTTGAGTTAGTCATTCATTAGTCCATATAATCCATAGGATGCATATAGCCAGATACATTTCCGATGAAATTATGTATGTATGTTGTTCCCGAGGATAGAATGTACATTGTTTTCCTTCATGTGCGCAATAAGCAACTTTGTAAAACTAATACTGCATAGCAAACTATTGACCTAAGGATGCCTTCTTTGCATTCATGTGTCTTCAGTTATGATGTATTCATCGTTTTGTTTCTAATCTCACCATTAGGAGTTTGAAATTATTAGAAAATGACAATGTAGAGGTCAGGGTACTTGCTTTTATTGTGTGTTATGAATATAGATATCACTTTCGATAATCGACTCAACCAAAATTATCGTAGTGTATCGTAGTTTTCGAAAACACACAGTATAGCCAAGTCTTTTGTAAGATGTTTGTACAAAACATTTCTATTATTATTTCCAGACAAATTTCCAGACAGTCTCCTTTTCTTCTTTTTTTTCTATTTATATTCTCAGGGTGCCATTCGTAAATGGACAAGTTACTTCGACTATATTGTGACTGATGCAAGAAAACCGGGGTTTTTTCAAGAAGGAACAATATTAAGAGTTGTTTCACAGGTAAGTGTGAATAAGGTTATTTTTGTGTATATAAATTGTTGTCATACACATAGGTTGTATAGCGACACTGTAAATATTCTGATTGAAAAAAGAGTTTCCCGTTGGACGCTGCCAACATATCTAAGCTCTGGATTTATTTACACTACATAAGAACTGATGAAATTGTATGGGCATTCATTTTTGTTGAAGACAGTTATTATTATAGTCTCCTTTAGTTCCTAGAGTAACACAGGGATTCAGGCGCACGTCTCCATTGCGTTCGGTTCTCTACCAACTTTTTCAACTGACTCCACTTCTGCCCACATGCTTTCATCTCCTGTTCACATGACCTCCTCCATGTCACCCACTCTCGCACTGATGACCAACTCGCCGCTTCCCATTCGGGTTCCACTTGAATGACGGCCTGGTGTGTGATGTTACTGGATGGTTTGTTTTCTCAGAGTATGGCCAATCCACAAAAATAAGCCTGGGGACATGAAATTTTTGCGCCATGGTCGAAGCCTACTGGGAAGGCTACTCAGACTACTAAAGAAATGAGAAGACACGGTATTAGACTGCTCGGAATGGGAGGGGGGTAGACTCCCTGAATAGTTAACTGAAGAGTCAATAATTTACTCCGGTCACCCAGGCGGTCAACGTGAACATACTGAAGGAGTTGCTATCAGGCCATCACCAACAGTATCGAAGCCTTTTATGCAACGGAAACCAATCTCCTCCAGGATATTGACAGCCAAATTCGATTCGAAAGGTAGGAGATTCACAAGGCAATCACTTCTTTCACTTATCTAGGCAGCATCGTTTCAGTTACAGACGGAATGCGGGGATGAAGATGTCAAAGACAGTCAAGATTGGAAAGACAAGATAGACATTCGCTACTCTGAAATTGATCTTTAAATCTACTGCATTGGGTGTAAGGCAAAGGATTCTGATTTTCAAAACTAATGTCAAGTCAGTCAGTACCTCGAAATGGTTCAGAGACTTCGCGTGCCATGAAAAACGTGACATGGAGCAGGTCGTGTGAGGAGGAGATGAAAGATTCTGAGTAGGAGAGAACAGCAGAAAATAGAAGAAAGTGGAGGTGTTGTTGAAGTCCTGTGTTCTTCTTGGAACACAAGGGAGCAATAATAATAATTGTTCGGAACCTGAGAGAATGATGGTAATAATAATACTGTACTATATTTTACTATATATGCACATTACACTATATCAAAAACTGTTATCATTTGTTTCATTTCATTTCATCCAAGTTGTTCGTTGTGTTAACTGACAGTTGATTTATTCAAATATTTATTTTTATTTGTTTCTTTAAGGAAACTGGCCAACCGAGTATAGGTCATCATATGGGTCCTTTAGAAACTGGTCAAATATACGCTGGAGGTAATAAAAGTTCTCAGCAGTATTACTATGATGTTTGTTAGATTGTATTTTTACTTTTTTCTTGATGATGTCACTTTTAGTTGGTGGTGATTAGCAGTGTTCCCTGTAAGACTCGAACTCAACTCTCATCGGTTCAGTACAGTGAAGTGTTATCCACTAGACCACAAGAGGCACCTTTTGGCTATTTAAGTTATTTTTATTTTTGTATTTCCCGTGGACTGACTTTATTGAACGGGAATGCTTAACCCACGGTGACATGTCTACTCGTAGTACGGAGGCTTTAATGATGTCTGAAGATGGTGGTAAACATGATGTTATTTAGTTGATATAGTTGACTAGCAGTGGAATCCAGGATGAACATTTCGCCTGTCTTTCTCCGTTTATTATCTTAATTTAATTAAGTCTTTGATTGGACACCAGTAACTAGTGTTATGCCTCTAGTCCTTTCTTCGGTGCAGAGAGAATTCTATCAGTCAGGTTTTGCAATGTGGCCACCATTCTAGGTAGCTCATCATCACGATGCACATTGATTTGATGATATTACATAGTTGGAGGCAATCGGCCACGGGAAGCCTGACTGAAGTCTCTGACTGCAGGCGGCACTGGGTGACGCGGGTTCGAATCTCAGAAGGGACATGAGTTCCTTCAAGGTTGCAGATACGCCTTGCTGACAAGTGCCAACTAGCACAACCGACTGCGTCCAGCCATCTAATATCATTAAATAAGCCTGTTTAATATCATTTGCCTTTCCTAATATGAATCCTACAATTTGGCGGTCAAGTTAAATTCAAGAATGTATAGTGTGGTAATTATATCTCAGTTACATAGTTTTAACAGTTCAACACTTATTAAGCAGAATTCTCACTTGAATACCTTTGGTATAGTGACATTTCTTTTTCCAGTTGGTTGGTTTGTTTTGAACCGCACAAAGGTAGACAGCTTGTATATGCTTTAATTTAAGGGGGACAGTGTAATAAGACCATATGAAGCCCAGCGCTGGTGGCCGTATGGTAGAATATTTGCCAACCATACCTCACCCCTGGCCTGGGGATCGATTCCTGGCCGATGCACGCCTAGGCCTCGCTTACCCCGTAGTAAGACTGATAAGGAGGGGAGATTCGAAGTGGGGCAAGCGATCCAATTACACGGAAATGAAACTACTGCTACTGAAACTTCAAAGCTTAAGCTTGAAGCCTCATGTTCCACTTGGGATGTAAAGAGAAAAAAGTAATAGTAATAAATGATCATCAGAGGTCAGTGCAACGCATTGACCTGTTCATTTTGGCTTTCAGCAACGAAATCAATCATCATTCCTCCATTAATTAGCTTAAAAGTTCCAGTTCAAATGTATGAATCGTTTCTAATAAAACTATTTTACTACATTCGATTTTCACAATCTGCTAACTGACTGAGTGAGTGACTGACCCATGGTTTACGTAAGGGCTGGAAGTAGGACCGAATGAATTTTTTTATTCCTTCACGTTCCCAGTAGAACATAGGGCTTCAAGCTATAGACTTGAAGTTTCTGTAGTAGTGGTGATTGTTTTTACAGGATGGGGTTGCTAGCCTCATGCCCAACCTTTCCTCTTTAACAGTCTTACTACTTACTGGCTTAGCGAGGTAAAGGAGTGCGTCGGTGGCCGGGGATCGAACCCCGGACTATGTGCATGGTTGGCGAGCGTCCTAACCGCTGTGCCACCAATGCACTTACGACAGAATAAATAGTCCAAGCTATTAGCCAGTAAATGTTTAATTTTCATTTCATAAGATAGGACATTGTTTATTGGTAGTAAATAAATCAATATCTTTGGAAATGTGACTAAAATAGTTTGATGTCAACTAAACGAACATGTAAACACCGGTAATTATGAACAAACAATGTTACATGAACAATATAAGTGTTTGTACAACTACGGAAACAAATATTTTGTAGACTTTCTAATAATTCACTGATATTTAGAAAACAGAAAGGTTGAGCAATATTGAGGTTAGGCGTCCAGTGCTAGGTAAGGAGGGGAAATCGATGGACGAGGCTGTGAAATTACATCGACTGAGATGGTTAGAACATGTGCTACGTATGCCTAGTCGTCGCCTTCCTCGACGGGCAATGTTAGCTGATATAGGGCCAGACTGGAAAAGAGCTAGAGGTGGTCAAACCAAAACATGGCACCAATCAATGAAATCTACAACAGTTAGTCTAAGCCACGTAAAAAGGTGTAGACTTCCTGGTTGGGGTCCTCGGGACGGTAAAAACCAATGGTTGGAAACAATTGGCGACATGGCTCAAAATCGTTCTCAATGGCTGGTGCAGATGCATCCACTCCTGGTGACTTATGATTTCCAATGAAACTGTTTTGTTCTTCGTTATTACTATTCCTTTGTCTCACACCTCTGTTTACTGTCTCTAATATGCATTTCTCCTACTTTCTTCTCTTGCTTTGTGTGCTACATGAAGGGAGTGTGGCGACTTGAACTGCCGCACATATGTGCAAAGTTCTATGTCGAAAACCGACCGACCGACCGAAAGGTTGAGCGAATAAATATTTACTTTTCAATCAGATCCTCATCCTTTTGTTAAACAAAAGTGTTGTAACACAAGCAGAATACTGGATTAATTAATGGTTGCGTTTTTACTTTACTGGAAGGACATAGTATACTGGGAAGTGTTCCACTAACTTACTGACTCTAGCCGATGTTCCTCAGGGGGTTGTTCTTTCTCCTTTTCTGTTTCCTTTCTTCTTATATGACTTGTTTCATTCTGTTGAAACGAATTTTGTTAAGTATGCCTCTGATATGACTGTTTTCATCCCGGTGGTTACTTCTCAATCAGACTGTTCTAAAATGAATTACTTTTTATCAGAAATTAGTTAATGGTCCTTATCACATGATCTTAAGCTAAATCTCACCAAATGTCAGGTATGTAATTTTTCTTTGAGACACAAGCGCGACTTACATGAACTGGTTTGTTCCAATGATTCTCGTATCATAGATGGCAAAAAAGTTGAAACTAAGTCGAATGTTAAGTAGCTTGGATTGTGTATTTACTCTGATCACCTTTCCTGCTCTTCCCAAATCATTTTGTTTATTCCTTTACGTTCCCAGTGAAACACAGGGCTTCAAGTCTCTAGCTTGAAGTTTCTGTAGTAGTGGTGATTATTCTTACATGATGGGGTTGCTAGCCTCATGCCTAACCTTCCCTCTTTAACAATCTTACTACTTAGTGGCTTACCGAGGTAAAGGAGTGCGTCGGCGGTTGGGGATCGAACCATGTGTACATTAGCTTAGTCGGAGAAGAATAATAATTCTTCGAAGTATAAAAGTATCCATTACAGTCCTACAGGAGGTCAGTCACTAGCCAAAAAAGCTCAGTAGTAACGTCTCTCACTGCACCACTGGGTTTTAATCTCAGAAGAGACATAAGTTCCTTCTAGGTCGCGCCAAGAAGCACGAAACCTAGGTCCAAGGCTTCCTCTGACCGATTGCCTCCAACCATATAATATCATTAAATAAGTCTGTTTAATTGATATAAGTATAAAACTTGGGCACTGTGGTAGAGTATAATTCCATAATGGATAAGAATTTATTTTGATAAATCACACAGTGTAGTACAGTTATATTAACTGATGACGTAGAGTATAATTCCATAATGGATTCCATAATGGCAAGGAGCAATAGTTTGTGCTCGAAACGTCATCAGTTAATATAACTGTACTACACTGTGTGATTTATCAAAATAAATTCTTATCCATTATGGAAGTCTGTTTAATATCATTTGCCACCGAGTTCGTATACCATTCAGCCACTGGGACACAATTCAATGGCTAGCCCATGAATTCTAACTTCTACTAATTCATGGTTTTTAGCCCCACTGGCAACCAGTGTCATCAATGGGTTCGAAACCCAGTGGGTGCGTACTGCCGATGAATCTCAAACTAGGACGTCACAGCTGTACAGTACTCCAGTGTTGGTTATCAATCTGTGGTTTAACCTGAAACGGATTAATCTTGTCTGACAAAGCTAATGTACGCACACACACCCAAACAAACAAACATAATTATAAATATGTAATTGTGATTGTACAGCTAAGTGAATGAATTCTCTGAAAATAATACTAATAAAGTAGTTGCAGTATTATTATGCCGACCATTTTTACAGTTTACAGGTTTGCGTATTTAGAGTAATCAAAATAGACCTACGAGTTTATTAATGTCATGTTATGATGTTTTTTTTTATGTTCACTTGGTATTTACTGTTTTCGTTGTTGTCGTTTTTGTTGTTTTGTATGCTAATACTTCATCATTATATGAAAAGGAATGTTCTATATTTGGCTAGTCATATATATACATACATGACTGCGTTCTATTTCATCATTTTTTTTTTTGTTTTGCGTACATAAGTCTATGCGTATTTGAAGTTCATACTTGGTTTCTGCTTAATTCAATAATCTGCCAAAGGCTAAGTTTAGTCTACATCTATAATCTCTTACTCCATCTTATTTTTTTTGTCTCTCTGATTTTAAGGTTCACATAAATTATTGTTTTACTAAATTTCACTTAATAAAAATGATTTGTATAATTATATTTGTATCGCAAATATTTAAAATTAAAAAAACATCACACTAGTGATAGTTAGTTAGTTAGGTGTTTCCGCTTGATACTAAAGACCACAGAGCCACAGGAGACCCTGGCAAGGAACCAACCACGAATTTAACATTCAAAAGGGATTGCAGATGGATGGGACAATACGCTGATGAGATCATGAGTGGCAGTATGCATCAAGCCCTCAAGTGGAATCCGAATAGGAAATGAAGAGTTTGATGTAGAAGGGTGACGTGGGAAGAAAAGGAAATGAAAGCTTGTGGGCAGTTGTAGAACTAGTGGGGAAAAGATTTCAGAGAGGAGAATGAAATGGAGATGAGCTGCTGAAGCTCTGTGTTCCACTGGGAACCCAAAGGAATAATACTTAAACTTATCATGTTATTATCATACTCTTGGGTCCCT